CACAATAGATTAAAATTGTCACAACACTTTTTTATAAGTGTTTTATATATATATACAATATATAGAGAGAGAGTAGATGTAGATGAGTACATTTACAGCTCTTATTGTGCATATTTTATTTTCTTTTATATCCTGTTTGTTATTGTTGCATTTAAGTTGTAATTTATGGGTATGTATTGAGTTCCATTTCTGCTTTTTACATTTATGCAATAAGGCCTATGTAGCTTTTCTGTCAATAAAATTAAACATGTCATTTATTGCAAGTGAAAATTAATTTCTCTAATGTTTTGTTAGATGTAGAATAATTTTCTGATTTCATAAATGTGTATTTTTCAGACGAAAAAAAAAGAGCGTATGTGTTTACATATTTTATGTCATAGTACAATAATAGGCTGAAAGTTTTAATTTATCATAATTTTAATTAAGAAGATACAGTTATAGAAATGAAGACTTCAGATATTTTAGTAATTTTGGTAAAAACTTGAACTGAGCTATAGACAATGTATCTATAGTAAGGTTAAAAGTAAATTGAACTTCTAATATAAAATTTACTACATTTACAGTACAAATTTTTACTGACGATCATCATCAAATAAGTATTTTCTGTAGCTACATACTTCTGCCAGTATTTGTTCAGTGTCACTTATTCAAACAGTTCTTGCAGCCAATTTGCATTACCTCTGAGTGCAATTGTTGCAACATGTTTTACTTCTGTTGATTTGAATGACAGAAGAGCATGCAGAAAACCATTTGAAATGCTCAAAATAGGATTGTTTATTGATTGTCTATAGTCTGTTGATTTCCTTACATACTGGAACTCTGGTTTCTTGTTCAAAATTGGGCTACATGGATGGAGATAATCCTCTGTCGATTCATTGCCTTCTTTAAAATGTTTGCCATTTATACACTTGTGTACATTAAGTAAAATGGCATCATTAACATATGCTTTTTTAAGTAGATTAAATGTTTGGTAAAGTTTTAACAAGTTTGATGCAGAATTTAGTATTGTTTCATTGTGTATGAAGTCTCATTTCAGATATGAATGTCTGTATGTCATACAAATGTTGATGACTAAGAAAATGCTGAATGCATGCTTGCAATTAATCATTGCTAGACAACATCAATAGTTTGATTTTAATTTTGGCTGTACTACATATGAGAAATTTTATTAACATGTTGTATATAATACTTCTGGATTTTTATGAATTTATAAAAGGTTAATATCTCCATAAAAGCAGGAAAGTGTTTATTTTTCCTTTTTTAATATGTTTTTGAAGTCAGTTATTTTCTTATCAGTACTTTTAGCAGCATAATTTTCTAAGCACAATCTTCTAATATTTATTAGTTGTCAAAATGTAATAAAATGTCATTGTATTGATATATTTTCAATATAATTTTGTACTCTAATATAAAGTCATATTTAAAATGTCTTTTGTTTTTGTTTTAAAAGATTAAAGAATTTTCTATTTTATTAATAAATTTTTTCCCTGTTATTTCAGATTAATAAATGAGAATTTTTTCAGCTTTTTACAGTATTCATGTAACTTTTATAAGCTTTTCTTTAAATGCCTTGTTATACAGGATGATACTGAAAGAATGAATGAGCTTTTTTGAACTTTAATAAACTCTTTGGAATGATAGTGCCAAAAGAATCAATTTTTGAGTTGGAGCATTAGCGAGGCCTCTTCTATGTGGGTTACAGAACTGTATTTGATCTCAAAATTTGCTTGATCAATTTTGGTTAAGCTTTGCCATTTTCCGTTAAATGTGATGAGGATTCAAAAAGTGTAATAAAAAATTGGAATCCATGATTTTTTTCAAAATAAATGTTGTGGCATGAGTGTGCATGACAAAGTGATATTGCATGACTGTCTGGCAGTGTCTTAAGGTCACTAGCATGTCCTCTATGGGCTTATAGAATCAAGGTCGTTCTCAAAATTTGATAACTGATTTTGATGAAACTGCCATTTTCTATTAATTGCAATGAGGAATCCAAAAATGTAATAGTGATCCATTTAAATATAAAAAATAGGGGTTTATAACTTCATTTTCAATGTACGGTTGGGTCAAAGTTCAAGGATCAGCTCTCTTGTAGATGGCAAGTAAAAGGATAGTCTTTTTTTGGTGGCAAGCTCACCTGTTTGCAACCATCAGGTGAAAGACTTGTTTCTTTCTTTCCAGCTCTGCCTTAATTCTATCATGATATGAAAGTCATGCAATGTGCTAATTACTAATAAACACTTGAACAGAAATGCATTCTTGATGCTAAAGGGGATTAAAGTTGTTCATACAGTACATACTTGCAGGCAACTTGCCATGCATAATAAGAATGTAAAGAGTGCAAGATGACTGAAAAGATTCATGTGTGTCATTTCCTAAATTTCTTATTCTGTTCAGTATACAAATCCACTGTTTTCAGATTACTGGAATTGCTCAAAATTTTACCCCAACCCAAATATGTGCAATAAATCAGTAATGCAGGGAATAATGAATGTTTTCAAAAGTTCTAGGTATTTGTCAAATGCCATCTATAGCAGCAGTAACCTGAGACAGATGGTCTGATTCAGTTTGTATTTTATAAACTAGTTCATTCATATGGCTGTACAGAAACCAGTGTTGTTAATCTGGAGATCTTGCTGATCATAAAATGGATAAATCCTTGAAAGTGTCAAAGTACTTTCTCATATCCACACTAAAGTGGGATGGTGTGCCATCGTGTTCCACAACATATGGCAGCAGATATGACTGAGACCTCTTCTAATAATTCTGGCTACATTTAGATCAGATAGAGGTGTCCATTTAGATGGGGCAATAAGTTATGTACTGTCCAATTAAATAGCTACTAATGATATCAACACTCATGAATTTCTGTTGATGCCTGTGAATATAGGGATTCTCCTTACACCACATGACTGTTTTGCAAGTTGATAATCCTCTTTTTCATATATAACACTTTGTCTATGAAAAATACCATCTCAACTTAAGGTACACACTATTACAGAAATCACTGTGTAAATTGCACTCAGTATGGAAATTCATGTTTACACAAAGTCTAAGCTTTGTTTATGATCTGATATTTCTGTAGATCATTGCAGAAGGATGCTGTAGCTATTGTATGAGCAATGATATTCATGCTGATATTAAGCAACTCCTCACTGTGCAAAACTTTCTCCTCAAAAATTGGATATGACATTGATCATGAAATCATGCATGACCTGTATAATGTTTCTTTACCTGCAGTGGGAGTGATATGATAATGATATAGTTCAAATAGGTTATGACCATAACCACAATTTTTGTATATAAAGAATCTTACTTGTATCAGTCCTGATTCTTGCATATACATATCAATTGTTTAGGATTTGATTAGTATTTGATTAGATTGGAAGTAATGATAAAAGCATATGAGAAAAATATTCTGCATAAATCTTCTATATCTATATTTTTCATTACTTCCACTAGCATCCACAAAGTCAACTGTATATTGGGCTAACAACTCAAGTGTATTGCTCAAATCTGAATTATGTCCTGCACCATCAATCGACTAATGAGTTTAATCCCCTCTAACATCTTCAGGTGGTGGATACTTTCCAAGAATCAGTAAGAACTGACTCCCTTGGAATCATCTATTATTCTTAGGAGTCTGTCAATGTTGTAAAAAAATACCATGTTCTATACAATATAAGACCTATTTATAAAAATTTTAAAGGTTTAAATTTTAACTTTAAATATATTATTAGTTTATGCTACTATATTAATCTATACAAGATGTTAAAATTTAATCAATATTTGTATATTGCTTGTTTATGATTACACTTCAGTTATAAGTAATTTATTTGGTGGGGAGTTACTCCCATGATTCCCCGCCAAGTAAAAAAAGTCGCTGACTGGCTATATATTCAAGAATCAAAGTTGCTTATTTTAGGTGGTCTATTTCTTTGCCTCCAAACACCTGAAGTAATTCCAAATATCTCATTTGAAAGAAAATTATTTTCTTAGGTAATGTGCAAAATTTCAAGATTGTCTATAAAGCAGTTGCCAAAATATAAACAATTGAAAAGTGCAAAAATTGGAAAAAAAAAGCTGTATTTTATCTCCTCTTTTTCATCCAGCACTGCAGATGCTCATATAGAAAAAACTACTGGGTCTAGAAAGCTCAAATTTTAAACTTAAGCATTTCTTGTTATCAGTGATGTGCTGGTGAAACTTCCAGGTCAATTTGTCAAAGATCATAGAAGTTTTCCGTAGAGCTAATTCAGTTTTACAGCTTAATTTTATGCTTATAAAGATAAAATTGCTTAGAAACAAACAAATTTTATTCAAAATGTTACTCAGAATTACAAAAGTTCAAATTTATGCCAATTAAAATGTTTTATAATGATTATTCTAAATGGCATATTGAAAGTGTCAGTCAGTGATGCATTCAATTGGTGATGTGTTGGTTGGTGACATGTTCAGTTGGCACCAACCAAAATGAATATTGAAAGCATTTGGTTGGCGACACGTTCAGTCAATGGTCACCGAATGCCGACCAATCATATGTCTTGACATAATAACACAATTATTAAACAAAAACAATTGATATCCAAACAAAAACATCTGAGATGTAAAAAAATTTTGCCAAGTAAAAACTTATGACAAGTTAGATGACAGTCAAAATTTTTTTTAGAAATTTTTCTTTGGTAAAGATATGTTTAGCACTTGGAAGCAGTACCCACAATATTTTTACTTACATTTTGCCTGCAAGTGCCAACCTTATTTTTACCAGAGAAAAACTCCTAAAAAAATTTTTGACAGTCATCTAAATTGTCACAAGTTTTTACTTGGAGAAAGTTTTTTTACATCTCAAATGTTTTATTTGAATATAATTAACAGAACTAGAAACTTAAATGTCATAAGGTAAGAATTATATTTACTTTTCATATATTATTATATAATACATAATGATTCATATAAATCAACAAACATTGATCGATATGTAATTATTTTACTAAACAGTTGTGCACACATGTATTTTCTAAACTAAATTAATCATTTTACAAAATTTATATTTTATAGGCCCTTAAGTCATTAGAAAAATATCCATTACCATTAAAATCACCATGGGAAGCAAAATGTTATCTTAATTATTTTGGTAAGCAGTGAATTATTCAATTTACTCTTAATTAGTTATTTCAAAATTTTATTAGAAAAATTTTCTTTTTAAACAGAATATTATTTAAATTTTTATGCCTAATAAGATATAATATCACTAAGATACAAATGATGATGATTATAAATAATTAGATGATAAAAAGTCATCTTCAATATTAAATAGAAGAAATGTTATAAAAACAAAGGCATTTTTTACCTAAACTAATTTTGTGCTTCTTCAGTTAACATTTGAACATGAAGAATGCTTTATAACAAAATGCAGCCCTAAAGTATTTTTCTGTACAAATGGAACTTATTCTCATTCACCAACTGTGATTATGGAGCCTTCCAGACAATGCATCATATCCAAGATTTGGTTCTAATCAGTGTATGTTGACCAAGATCTATCAGATAATTAATGCTACCATTGATTGGTTATCTAATTTAGATATTAGCAAGGTTGTGGCCGAAATTTTCAATGTGAATGTTGGACATTTAGCGTTGCCCTCCTGTAAGCCTAGAAGTTTGACAATGGCGTTTGAAACGTCAGTGGAATCATGCTTGATGTTCCAAATGCCATTGTCAAACTTCTAGGCTTACAGGAAGGCGGCGCTGAATGTCCGATGTTCACATTTTTGTGTTGAAAACTTCAGTCACAACCTCACTATTTTATGAACTGCAGCTTCATGTTTGCTGTACTACTATTGTTATGACTAAATAATCTATTGCCTTTACTTCTACTGAGTCTCCCAAAGCATGTCCCAGTCATTAATAAAAAAAAAAAATTGGTCAATTTTGTTGTATTTGCAACTTTACTTATACTCTGATACTCTTCATTTTAAGGAATGAGCTTTGCTATCTATATAGTGAAGTTAAGGCAAAAATTGCTTTTCTTTGTGTTTTTGCTGAAATTTTTGGTGTTTAATATTTGCAGTTGACTTTTTTAATTGACTACTTCATAACAATGTGCAGGTATATCTATAATTTTTGCTTAATAACTTTAATAAATACAAAGCCCCTCAATTTTTGAAGAATTTGTATTTTAAGAACTATTTTTGTCCTGAATATGAGCTTAAATATCTAAATATGCTAGATAGGTAAAGGTTTTCCTTCTTGATTTATTAAGTTTATTCAACTAAAGAAGTTTGTGTGTTTATCTTAAGAACACTCTAGAAAATCTGAAAGAGAAAGTGAAAAGTACAGAAAAATGTGAATTATAAAAATAGGATGATTAAAGAACTGTTTTAATAATAATAAATTTATTATTTAGATACTAAGATATCTGATCTATGGAACCTTTTATAAAACAAAAGTTACATTTTACAGAATAAATTATTGATGGCAGATATTTTTTGTGCATTACATATACTAAATGAAAAAGAACAAAAACAAAATCATTTTTATCAAATTTTTTTTTTTTTGCTTTATATAAATATAATTTAAAAAGCATAACACCCAAGAGAGAGGGGAGAAAAGTGTGAAATTGTATTTAAATAGGAAATTTAATTATTAATTAATGGAATCAAAAACTTTTAAAATATTTAAGTATCAAACAATATTTAGAATCTTTATTAATGTATTTTAATCAATGCTATGAAGTTGTTAGACCAAGCACCCAACTTTGAATCTTCTAAAATTCTACAAGAATTTTAGGTCTGACTCAAACACCAACTTGTGGATTTCAAGAGGTCTGATTTCTGCCTCTAAATAATAGTTTAAAACATACTTTGGTTATATGAACACATAATGACATTTCATCACTACCAAATGAATCATCCAGCATTTTTATTAAAACTGAGAGCATTTATCTTTTTTTCACATTTTATTATCATTCATCAACATCCACACAATATTCTCCATCTATCGTTATAGTAAAGTATTCAGTAGATTTAACCTGAATCATCTTAGCCATTTTGTATGGATCTTTTTTTACAATAAAAATTTAGAAGTAGCTAGCACCAAATCTATTTGAATATAGATTTCTGATAAGAAAAAGGTAATTAGTGATATGCAACAAAAGATTGATTAATTATTGATGGCAGATATTTTTTGTGCGTTACATATACTAAATGAAAAAGAACAAAAACAAAATCATTTTTATCAAATTGTTTTTTTTTGCTTTATATAAATATAATTTAAAAAGCATAACACCCAAGAGAGAGGGGAGTAAAGTGTGAAATTGTATTTAAATAGGAAATTTAATTATTAAAAAAAGTAGGGAAAACATCATAAAATAAGATCTTGATTTATGGGAGGCCTTTATAATGTAAGATAGGAGGCTAATGCCCTTATAGACAATTTGCATGTGATGTATTGTATTCCTGCATGTGCATCTTACCGGTGCTATATTTGTGACATTTCTGTTCTGTTTTAACCTTACCTGATACATGACAGAGTAACCAAACAGGGGAAAGCATAAACCTTGAGTGGCTCACTTAATGAAGAGGTACAGTGTAAGTAAATTTTAAAACAGAATAAAACAAATTCAACAATTACAAAGAAAAAAAAGAAAATTTACCACTCAGTATTTAGAAGTGATGTTATGCAATGGTCAATAAAACTCATAAAACATACATTTTTAATTATTATAGTACAATGATACTATGACCAAGTGTCATAGTTTGTTATACTTACCTTTCCTAACAAAAGAAATTTAGGTTCTGAAGAACTTTATCAAAATCTTTGGATCAACCCAACCACTTGATACAAAACTGACTCTTAAGTGATCTGTATTCTTTTGTGTGATTAAATTAATTAAGAGTTAAAAATCGGATTATTAAGAAAGGTGTCACCATATTCTACCTTCAGTCATGAACTGTGATCCTCTAAGAATGAATTCATAAAATGTTACTTCTCTACCAGTCAGTATCTTGACTAGTAAGAGTTGTTAAATAACCTAGTAAAAAAATCCAGCAAAAAGTTGCATAACTTTTTCAATATGTTATGAGATATTTATTTAAAAAAAATAAATTGTAAATTATTAAACATAAATAAATTTGTGTGGGGCACCATTATTTATGAGATTTTGTTATAAAAAAAAACTTTTGATATTTTTAGTTGTTATAAAATGGCAAAAGTTTTGAGGGTACAGATGAATTTTATAAAAAATTGTAAGCGTTAATAACGAGTATAATCTTTATGAAGTCCGACCCTACTTGAGATACGATCCACCATCTCTTTGACCTTTAACTACCAAAATTTAATAACATTGAATCCCCTAATATACAAACCTTCCTGCAAAATTTCAAAAATTTTTGATAAAAGTAATGGAAATAATTCAGCTTCAAATTGGGTGAACAAAATTGTTCCTCCCACACATCCATAGATACAGATAAAATATTTAATTATTTTTTGTTTTTCTTGCATTTCTCAATGTTCCATGGTCCCTGTGTGTCCAAAAATGTAAAAATGTTTCCAGTTTCCCTACTGTTATATATAACAGGGCTGGGAAAGTAAAATGCATTTTTCCATGTTCTAAACGTGATAAACATCCATACAAGCCAGACTATATACATCTCCACGAACGACATGGCACAAATATGGCATAGGAGGCAGAGCGATGACGACTTGGTCACATGAGATGACGTTCATGCAACTTCTCTATTAGGAGCTTAATATAAAGTACATAATAAAAAAGAGAGGAGTTTGAAGTTGGTCTATTTCTATAGATTCTTCTATCAACAAATTTACTTCTGACTTTGCAGCCCAGATTCTTATGCAGCACATTCTCTCTCTCTCTATAATTTAATATAGGCTATTTTATATATCAGTAAAAGGACATTGAATACCATTTCATGATCCTTTTTATTCAATTGCATATTCCTTTGTGATGCAACCCAGACATACCATTAAAAACAAAAAATAAAAATTTATTCAAAATGTTTTTTTAATTATTAAGGATTTTGTTTATACTTAATACAGTGTATAGAGACATTATAAAAAAAATTTACAGGATTTGAACTTTTTTTTTCTTAATATATTTTTAGGTGATAAAATCTGCAAAATGTTAGAAGATAAGCTAAAGGAGCATGGTGAAAATATACAGAGTTAGTATAAATAAATTTTTTAAAATATTTGACATAAATATGGCAGTCTTTGTACATAAAATATATCATTTATGAAAAACTAGGGTTTTAATTAATATTTGTTTCATTTTTTTTACATTTATGAACTTGTGTTTTAATATACAATTACCCTCATGTAACATGGTAGTTAGATTCCAAAAAACTACAGTGTTATGCAAATCCATGCTATATGAAATAAAGGACTAACACAAAACATAGGGCTAGATACAAAAAGTTATAAAAGTATACTATTCTTTTTCGTAATTAAGAGATATATGTTTATTAAAGTAATCAATAATTAACATACAATCACAACCAAAACTATTGCATGTTAATATTAATTTTTTCTTCACTGCTAAACATCATTAAACAAGGATGGTTTCTTTTTTGGCAAAATATTGTAATCTTCTGAGCTTTCCTATTAATCGTAAGCCGAAGTATCAGCAACATCTTGATTTTTCTCTACATCTTTTTATAAAATCTGATTTTTATTTGCTTGCATTTGCATAAGAAATCTTTAAAAATTTCTTTCTTTTTGTGTTCATTTAGAGCAACCCCATTGTTAATGGGGATTACCAGGGTGCTGATTCATAGGCACCTTGTTAAAAATAAATTTTTTTGAAATTTATCGACAACAGATGTCAGTACTTGATGGCAACGTCTTGTTTACCCTCTGTTTCACATATTTGTGTCCAGATGGTATTTTGTTGATCTATAAAGCCATTATTTGGAATTTTTGGAATTCACTTTTGCTTTTTCGCTCGAAGACTACTGTTGTCTATGTTACAGGTAAGGTTCCATACCTTTTCGTTGTTCATTTTATTCAATCATTCTTTCATTTTTCTATTTAGTTTTCTATATAAAATAAAGTGATTTACTTTCTAAGATATATATGATATATTTTTCATAATTTTAAATATAAATTTTGATCCTATATCGAATCATATTTTTAATGAGTTATTTGTAATTGTTTTATTTTATATTTTCGATTCAGTTATCGTAATTTTATTTATTATTACTTTTAATTTTATATTGTAACATGTCGTTACATATAGTTTATTTTTTTTAAATTAGATTTATCAATTTTCATTAACATTTATTGTACTATAATGGTGTCGACATCTAAAGTTAAAAAAATGTTAGATGACTCTGACCTCCTAGAATATATGGAGAATTTCTCAGATGTGATTTCAGAGTCTGACTCTGACCCTGAGATTAGTATGTATGAAGAGTCTGATAACGATTCTGATGATTTGACCTCTCCAAGCTTCTCTAATCAGTTTATGCAATCCAGGAATGATGATGATGAGGACTATCAGGAGGTTCTATCTCCAGTGCAACCTTCTTCACTTCCTTTCACTTTTCTAGAGCTAGCTGGCCCTAAGCACATGCCACCTCCAGATTCATCCCCGATTGAGTATTTCAATCTTTTTTTTACAATGACTTTACTCAATTTAATTGTAACGGAATCAAATCGTTACATGCAACAAGTCATAAATGGCATAGGGGATAATGTACCATTCACTCTGAAGAACTGGTCCAAACTTTTGGTTGTAGAAATAAAGAGGTTTATAGGATGTATATTGAACATGGGATTAGTCAAAAAGCCTACCACAACATCTTACTGGTCCACTTCTTCCAAGATGGAAAAAACGTAACAAGTTCTTGGAAAATGTTTCCAAGAACTTGTTACGTTTTTTCCATCTTGTCAATAACTCTTAAGTTATCTGGCCCAGTGGAAGAAGAGTACAATCCTTGTACAAAATATCAACCACTGGTTGATCATACTAACAGTGTTTTGACATTACTGCATGCCACACCAGCAAATTTGTGTGGATGAGAGCCTTGCTGGTACCAAAAATAGAACCTCCCTCATGAAGTACAGTACCTTCCAAAAAAATATCATCATCAGTGGGGCATAAAATTTTGGATGCTGTATGACTCGGTCTCTAAGTACTGCTTGATTTTTTCATTTAGAGGGGCCAGGTCTCAGCAGGAAGAGGACAACAATTCTAAATTTGGTCTAGGGTACAGCGTTGTAAAAAACTGCTTGAGACGGGGTTGTACCTGAATAAAGGTTATCATCTTTTTGTAGATAATTTCTTCATGTCAGTTCCTCTTATTTGATATTTATATTCACTGGGTATCTACATCACTGGCACAGTTTGACAAAACAGAAAATATTTACCTGCCCCACTGAAATCTAAGTTTTCTGTCGGCCAAACATCATTTTAGATCTGGCCCGTTGTTAGCCTGTGGCTTCTGAGAAAAATCCTCACAAAAAAATCTGGTCCTGCTATTATCCAATCATGTGAGAGCATGTGAAGAACAAATTGTTAGGTGCAGAATGGCTAAGTCAAAGCCACAAATAATATTACAATATAATAAATTTATGGGTGGGGTCAATACATTAGGCATGTTGTTGTATGTGTACTTGGATGAGAAAAAGACCGTGAAATACTGGAAAAAGGTTGTGTTCAACAACATAGCCAGGATGGTGTTGAACTCATATCTACTATACAAAGAGAATTTCGGAGGCCTGGGAAAAGTAAAATCTAGGTACACGTTCTACATATCAATAATAGAGCTTGGAGGGTGGGGGTGGGTGGATGGCAACAAAAAACTTCCTGAAGATCCTCAAGGACCAAGGGAACTCAGGAAGTTACCTGAAAAAAAGGAGTCAAGGTGCTGTGTCTGCACAAGTATGGGATTGAAGATGAGATCAAGAATCGTTGTCTCAAGGGCATATCCTGGCCATGCACTCTTGTTTCAAGGGGTTACATCCTGAACGTTACCCAAAGCATCATTGCTGATAGGATAGGTATGTGATATAATTCTGATCAAACAATTTACATTATATTTACATGCATTATCATCATGCAGCAAATGCAATAAATAATACTCTCTTACAGATTTGGTCCTGGCAACATCACAGATGTGTTTTATTTCTACTTTTTTCCTTTTTTTTTTTTGTTTTGATGTTAAATTTTGATGTAAAAATCAACATATGTTACATGTACGTTTTATGATGATCATATTTTTATCAGAAATATTTTCATTTTTGTTTAATTTCACNTTACATTATTATATTTAGCATTTAATTGGTGTACTGTGCCAGTGGAAAATTTAACTAATTTAACTTGTGCATTTAAATTATTTAAAGATATTAGTAAATGTATGTAATTTTTTTTCATATGAATATAATAATAATTTAATTTTTGGTGAATTTTTAAAATAATATTGCCAGATTTACTAATATTGCCTGTTTTACAAAATAAACTTAAACAAGGAGGCGTCGCAATTGGCAGCAAAGAGTTGACTAGTAAACCTCCTCAAAAACTGGCACAACTGCAATCACAACTAGAAACAAAGTTTGTTCTATTCATGCTGATTGCAAACACGCATCCAATCATCAAATGCCTTTGTGCCACGTCATTCAGTGGCAACAATGAAAATAGTTTATCACAGCAGAAAGTAAGAGGATTGATACCTTTACAGAATCGAGATTGATAGAGCTTATTCAGGCTTATGAATGCCTGTGGGATTTTAATTATTTGTTTTATCGGAGATTTTATCTTTTCATGTATTCTCGCCGGCTCTAACAAAATGATCATCTTTTTTTCTTTTATTCATTGCAGAAAACAAACTGCTTGCCATTTTAATAAGAAAAATGGCTAAAATTCCATAAATACTTTCAAGTAGAATGTAAAATGTCAGTAAACTCATTAAAGTAGTCAAAAACAAGCTACTGTAATTTTATTGGTTTACTAGCTGCAAAGACCCGCTTCGCTGGGTTTTTATTTGTATGTAATATAGTTTTTTTATATATAAAAGACTGTTTTTCTAAGTAATCTAGAATCTAGCTGCAAGGATCCACTTTGCTGGGCAAAAAGTAACGATAGTGAAGATTAAGATAATTACATTATAGCCAATCCTACCCGTTTTCACAGAATGCAAGAATTAGGTCCCCCGTTTCCAGACTAATTAGAGAATTTTTACGTCCAGTCAAATGAACTATTTTCAATTTGATCAATTTTCTGGAATGTTTACAATCGTTCTATAATCGAATCAATTCGAATTAGAAAATTTTTAAAATCGAAATAGAAAATCTTCCACTTTCAACCACTTTCAACCTCATATTTCCCGCACCCTTATAGCTATCGACACGCAACCACCATAGTGCACAAATGGAGACTTGGGGCTACTACAACATACAAACACCATTCATGTGCGATGTGTAGTTTTGGCTGAAAAGTGAAATATAGGGACACACACGTCCATTTATATATATATATATATAGATTACAGGATCATGTGTTTGAGTTGAAATGTTAGCAAACAATGTGTGACCATAAGATGATGTTGCAGTTGCAGTCACCTGCACAGCTGGAAATCGCATGATGTGACTATGGCTTAAGAGATAATATTCAGTAAGGGTCTTGAATTAATCGGAGTCACATATGTCCTCAAAGCAAGAGTGGTAGGACATAATGTCACAATATGAAAAAAGCCACCTGGAATGGCCAAGAAACTTCTGCAATGGACTAGAATGTAAAGATGGGATTGGGAGAGCCCAAGATTATGAGTGGTGCACAACAAGAGCAACCTTAAATGTTTGAAAGAGTTGGAAATTTGTTAATCCTCGTGGAATAGTAAGCTATAAACTTTATGCGGACAATTTTTTCATATGCATAGAGGTTGTATTACAAAATTCCTTAAGGATTGGTACAACTCATGGCTGCTTTTTACATATTTTTAATGTGGTTTTAGTTCATTCATTCTTTGTTGATTTTTGTTTTGTATTTTAACTTTTTAATTATTAGTTTTATGGGTTCTCATATATTGATTCAATTAGTAATGCATGTTAATGGATAGGATTATATATTTAAAATTACACAAGCCATTCCAAGAAATATTTTGAATGTAACCAATAGCATAAATTATTCATCAATTTTAAATCCAGTCACTATAGATATTCTTTAATTTAAATGTTCTTGTGCTACTTGTAAGGATGCAGTTTGTTTTTAAAATATAACAAAGCAACTTTACCAACAGACCTCAATCTGCAGTTTTTTTATTGCACAGATGAATGAGGATTGATGGCAATGCTTGCCAGGACATTAATTATTTCATTTAAACTAGTAGCAGGCTGATTTTGTATATTTCTTGCTTGTGTATGCCCATCAATTCAAACTTTAAAACTAACTTCCATCAAGAGCAGAGAGAAAAATTTACATAAACCTATAGTCTTTTATGACAAGAAAACAAGCTAAATATTTTAACAAGAACAGCCGTCACTGTTGCAGTTGCCTGCTTGGCTGGAAATTGCAAGGTGTGACCACAGCTTTGTTGGAATTGAGTATATCCTTGGCAATGAAGCTTATCTAGCAGATCCTTATCATTTCTAAGAAGTGTTGCTGTTGGATTCCTTTTGTAATGTATGGATCTTCCATGTGCCATATTGATCTCCTTAACACAAGCCCTTTAAATTCCTGTTGTAGCCAACCATACTATATTCACCTTTGTATCTTTTACAACTTATTGGAAATGCTATTTTGATATTGTTTAATTATAGGTTCAATGGTATTAGAGGTATATCCACATTCTTCAGCAACTTTATGTATTGAAGCTCTTCCATCCTGTCTATTCCATCCACTTAAACAAGAGAATGCTATTCTCACTAAGACTGTTGGCTTCTTGTTAAACTAAGTGCTGCGAGCAGTGCTTCCAAAATGGTTGAGAAATCCAAAAACCCCTACACTTCAGGAGATGCATCATATATCCCCATACCTCTCATAATTTCTCCTGACAAATCTAATACAATACCTTCTAGTGTGTTGACAACTTTTGTACTGTTTCCAAAAAAACAAATGAAAACTATGAGAATCTTGTCTTTTTTTATTGAGTGCTATTGCTTTCCTGCAAGGTGAAAGGCTTTTATGACACTATCCCATGACATTCCATGTGTCTGGCTAAAGCACAGGGAAGGAGTGACAAATCATCTATGTTAATTTTTCTGAAAACTCTTTGATGTAAAGTGTTGTCTCAGAAAGACTCAAGTTGTGACAAATAGATGAGAAAGGAGAGCAATTATATTTATAGTATATTTATATTTATAAAATGAGACAAATTACAAACTATAAAAAGAATTTGCCGAAAGAATTAATAAATCAACTTTAAAATTTCAATGTATAAATTTAGATGTTGAATATTCTTATTAGAGTATTTACACTAAAAGAATTTTGTATATTATTTAAATTTTTCAATTATAAATATATTTGGATTAGTATATTATTTTTTTCCCCTCTGTAAACTGGACCACCTTCCGAAAGTTCTTGGGATTTTTTGACTCTCAGATTTATTCCTGGTTCTCAGAGAAGTAGGTGACACATTAACTTGACATCTGGCCATCATTTTTCTTTTTATTTAGGATGACAATCCTATATCTTATCAAGGCATGTTGAAAAGAATAATGTATAGTACTTGAAGAAATAAGCTGAGACAAGGTTTGGCAATCTGTGACACATTAGAGAGGTTGTGGTCGAAGTTCAAATGTTAAACTTGTATGGCAAGCAGAAGTACACATTTGATGTTTGAACTCCCATGTAAAACACATTGCGCCACACATTCCCATTACGCAGACTCATGGGATATTGTTGAAAAATGGCGGAAACGTTTAACAATGATGAGTGTTACCAGCAAAGGTAAATAAACAAATTAAACTATTTTAAAGTTTTTATAGAATGTTTAATAACACTAATTAAAGTCAAAAGTAATTATTTAGCATCATGTCTCCTCCTGTATATTTCTCATGACATACTTTTGTTGATGGAAGTAGTGGCTTATGTAAATCAGAAAGCAGCTTGGGAAATTATTATTAGAAAATTTACGAACATATTACGCTGTTGATGGTAGAAGATGCTGTGAAAGAACAAACCTACTCCTACAGAATTATGATAAACTATTATGAAGACAAATATATGTAAATTCTATAGGCACTTCACATCACTTGCAAAAAAAATTGAATAATTAAATAATTTCTGGATAAAAATTGTCTGTTTCTTTACAATATTATTCATAAATGCTTAAATTATCATTATTTTAATAAAATACATCATAATTTTAATCCCAAACACAGAAAAATGAAGTTTAAGCCGAACTTCTATTCACTAAGCTAGACATAGCAAACACCATTATCAACCACCTAGACTTGCCATATGCTGGCGCTCGATGTCTGACGTTCACGTTTTCGCAATAAAAATGTCAGCCGCAACCTCTCGATTAACTTTAGAATTGGAAAATACCACCAGTGTTCTGCAACCAATTGCTGCCTTCTGGTGGTAATGTTTATTTAATAATGAATTTGCACATACACTAATCACAGATGACAAATGGCTATCAGCAAACAAAAGATAAAGACAAAAAGTGGGATTATTCTGACTTGCTGTTTTCAGAATTAAAGTTTTTGTCGACAAAAGTTATTGTTGTTCATGGATCTACAAAGTAGTAAAGAAGCTCATGGAAGTTAACAGAATTAATTGAAAGGATCATGTCATCTAATTGCAACATTGAACTAAAACTAACAAAGATTTCTGGAACACACCTTGATATCAGTAAGTGTAAGTTACCAAAGAATGGCAAGAAACTTTGGATATTTGGACATAATAATGGAGTAGATTGTTGAGAGCATTAGGTATGAAGAAAAATCTCACAAATCAGCACTCAAAGTCATCCCAGATCAGAACAAAAGGTGATGTCAGTGTTTGACAGCTCTTTTTAAAAGGACAGAGTCATTTAAAATGGATAAAATCACATGGATGATGACATGTTTCCTTCACCTTTAATAAGTTCAAGAACTTCCAGAAATGGAAAGAGGTTAAACTGAACCTAAAATTCAAAGGAAAGAAAAATTTGGATCAAAATCTTTGTCTAAAGGAACCCTCTGTCTTTTTTATGATTTTGAAGGGTGCAATTAATTATGAAACATGTACTAAAAAGTGTATCAAAGCTTGTCTGGCTCTGTCATATGGCAAAATTACCCATATGGTAACAGATATTTTGGCCTGATTAACCTCAGTGCACTGTGACATCACTTCATCAAAATTTGAAAAGTTAGAGGTTTGCTATGTCCAAAAAGAAAATAACCCATTAAATGTCCTCCAACTATGCTCTATTGATTTCTAGGCTTATCAGAATGAAAGGTTTGAGTTCAGGTGGAAAGCAAACTCTGCCTCCAGAACTAGTAAATAAACTAGAAAAAACCATCAACGAAGTTTCCGCTGTCTACTTGACAAACATCTTTATGGGTGTTCACTGAACAGTCCAATCAGCTGCCAAACTTCAGATAGTGCAATTCACTGAACTGACTTTAAAGTACAGTACATCCTGATCATTAATCATTGTTAATAATAATAATAAATGATCATTAAATTCAAAATTACCTGAAGAAAAGCTTTTCTCAGTTTTTTCTCCAAGTATATTATTAGTGTTTCTCACATAGACATATACCATAAGCATAAATTACATATTGACTACTACATTTTTGATATGTGATTGAAAATCTAAATTGATCTGTATTAATGGCTAGCTTTAGCATATTGTTATTTATAATGTTCAATAATATAAAATATGGATTATTTTTATATATTTCAGATATGGGAGAATCTCAAGTAGCCGAGACTTCTGAAAAAGAATCAATGTCAAATAGTGGTACAAAACGTTGTTTGAGAAAGGATGAAGACGAAAGTGATAATTCTCATTTACCGGTAAACTTTTTGAGAATAACTGACCTAAGGCAATCTGTTTTAACACATGCTATCCTAAAAACCCTTTATATCTCATCTTTAATAAAGCTGAGCTACAAGTTTGTAATATCTTAATTTAAAACTTGTATTTTGTTAATACATAAAAGAAAAGTAAATCAAAAATAAAACAAAATAACAGCAATTGTGTCTTTTAAAAGCTTATGGAGTGAAGCAGAAATATTGTTTATTCATTATCAATGATTTAATGTTGAATGTCAAAGAAAATGATTTAGCACCTCTAATAGGTAAAATTCAGTTAAATAGTCTAGCTGAATCGTTTCAACTGTGATTTGCAAAAAATAAAAGTAATGTAAAATGTAATCTATTAAATTTGAAAATTCTTATACTCACTTGTTTACCTTTATTGTCCGGTACTTCTTAACCATTCGTAAAACAAACGTTTTCAGCCTCAGTTAAGGTCTGCATCAGGTTAAAAGAAGCAGGGAGATGTATTAACACCAAAGATGGCAACGCACTTTCCTATGCTTGGTGCTACGTATGTGAAGAAGAAGGAAATGATGATGATACGTAACATGCACATATGTTCAAATATAATTTTTTAAAAATCATTTGTTCTAAGATTGGAATCCAATTGTTCTATTAACCTGATGCAGACCTCGACTGAGGCCAAAAACGTTTGTTTTATGAATGGTTAAGAAGTACCGGACGATAAAGGTAAACGAGTGAGTACAAGATTTTTCAAAATACCAGTATTCGGAATAGAAGAGTTGGGATATTAAATTAGAATTATAGAAAGTGGGTTATAAAAAGCTGAATATGTTTCGGATAAACTGCTAATTAAATCAGACATCTGCTTTCAAGATTGTCACCTTTTGCCAATTATAAAACTTGGTAATTGCCAAGTTGTGTTGACACGATTCAAAAATCACTCCAAATTTTTGCTTACAAGTTGACTTTTTTCATATTTTACAGTTTATAATAATATAAAAAATAAGTTAATTCAAGATAAATAATTTTTTTAATAACTTACATTACATGAAGTGATTTATCTTTCCCTGTTATGAAATATGGTTGGATTTGTTTTTAGAGTAATCCTAAGCAAAAGAGAATGTGTACTAAAAAATACATACCCGTACCTGGATCGGGAAGCTATGCCATTCTTGTTACTCTTATGAAAAATAAGGTGGNTCTATTATAAAATATTTATCTTATTAATGATTAGATTGACACAAATGAATCTTTTATGAAGAAGCAAGATGTTATTGATTCTGCTCAGTTACTTTGCAATTCATCTTTTACTAGGGTGGGTATGTTAAGTAAAAATTATTTCTATTTACTGTTTATTTTTTAAAACTAATTTTTTTTTGTTTTAAAAAACTTGAATTAAAAATTTTTAAGGGTTTGTATTAAATCAAATCAATTATATTGAGTATTTTGAAATTTTATTTAAAATGTAAGAAAAATCAGTATTTAATTTGATCATAGTTATGAAAAATGATTGAACTGCAGTTTGATAAAATTGTAGACCTATAAATTCTCTCTGTTGTCTGTCTGTTTGTTCATTTATCTTTCCTTAACCTTGAGAATGGAGTTAGACAGAAAAAAGACAAGACTAGATGTGGAAACCTTCAGGGCAGTAAGTCTCAATTAACTATATATGAACTTGCGATGCAAACCAGAAGTCACATTATTTCAGTTCAAAAACTTTCTCCTGAAATTAATTAATAGATGATTGACATGACTCTATTGTTAAAGGAAAAGTATGATGTATGGGGGCAAGACAATACTGATTTGAGGTGGAGAGCATATACAGTGGAACCTCTATATTTGTCATTAATCCATTCCTAAAGACCTAACGAATATGGAAAATGATGAATATAGAAGCAATTTTTCTCACAATAAATAACTGATATTCGATTAATTCGTTCTCATCCTAAAAAAAAGTACAAGAATAAAAATTATGTTATTTTTGTAAAACTTTATCATTATTGTACTAAACAAATATGGTATAGTGGTAGAAGGGGAAGAGGAGTAAGGTTATTATTGTTTAGAAGACGTACCATCAATTAAAACATTAAGTAATTTCAATTATGATCTCAGCATATTAAATTCTTTGGCTAAGTTGGAAATACTACAGTGGCATTTGAAACATCATTGGAATCATACTTGACATTCCAAATGTCATTGTCAAACTTTTAGGCTTATAAGATGGTGGTGCTCAACATTTGACATCACGTTTTAGAGATTAAAACTTTGGCCACGATCTCTCTACTTTGTCCATTTTCAGACTTAACAATAATTTTTTTGTATCTCTATTGTTGTTCTAACACATTCCTTTTTTGCTATTTTTCTTCACTGTGCTTTGTTGGAGTGATTGGTACTTGAGTTTTTGAAAATAATCAGTGCAAGAAACCAAGAACACACACAACAACCACACAAAGTAGACTGATTAACTACAGCTAGCTAACATAGTGTTGCCAACTCAAAATTCAAATTTGTAGCTAGACAATTTAATAAAAATATTCAAATCATATTGTTTCCATTAAAATTGTTTGATTTTTTTTATAGCTAGATAGCATTATAAAAGTAGCTAGGCCTTTATAATTTAGGTAACTCACATAGCTAGATTTTCATAAATCCATTAAATCTAGCAAAAAATTAGCTTAATTGGCAACACTAAGCTAACATGACTAGCTGATTGGTGCGGGCATGTGATTTGTGTCAGTGGGAGTGCCACTGCTGGTGTTGGGAATGATGATGAATACAGAAAATACTGACGAATATGGGGAGAAGTAATCAAAATATGACAAATATCAAATATTACGAATATAGAGGTTGCACTGAATTTTAAATTAAATAAACTAAAAATATGATTAAAAATTGCAGCCTGGCATTGTGATGATGTCATACTAAATAATTGCTCATTAATTTTACCTTCCAAACAAGGCACTGCATTAGAAAAATGATTATTTTTAAAACGTTTCAAATTAAATATTTGCAAAACATTCCAACATCTGCATCAAGATTTCTTACTTTGGAACTTTGGTGCTGCACTGTGCACATTGTTAAAAAATCTACAGTAGAAATTGCAGTGAAAGCAGCAGTGCTGAATTTAACAAACCATATGCTAAATTAAATGTTCAATAAATTATATGGGTATTAAGAAATGAAATAATTGATTTTACTATGGTAACATTGATTAATTGAATTTATTTCCTTCAGTGATCTTCAATAAAATGATTAAAAAGATATTATATCAGGGGTGGCCAACAGTTTTTGCTCCCAGGCCAAATTGGAAAGAGAACTTTTTTCACGACCGAACCAGAGGTTGTCCTAGGAAGATTTTGAGGTGGTGTGAGATCTCATTGTGGTGTCACCCATAGAGATTAAATTGTTCATAGAAATTACAGATAAATTTTTCACATTATCATGCTATATCAACATTCTATGCTGTACTTAAGAGATTTGTAATGGAGGGTTAACTCTAAATGCACAATGAGGAGTTGACTTTTTTTTTATTTAGGCGTCAGAATTTTTCATTGAGCTATTCGGATTTCAGTAGCTAATATTGAAAGATTAATCACGGGCCGCATAAATTCATTAGACAGGCCGGATCCAGCCCGCAGGCTGTATGTTGGCCATGCCTCTATTATATACTTTGTAACTTTGATTACACACAAATATGTATATTTGTGTGTAATCAAAGTTATAAATTATATAATACCTTTTTAATCATTTTATTGAAAATACTGTACAAAATTAAACTAATTGTACATGTATTTGTGTTAAAGTATATAAAAAGTAGGAGATACTGCAAAATGTTGAAGCTGCTCCTATTAGAAAAAAGTTGAAAAACACCATCTTATGATGATATAACTTAATATATTTATTAGAACATTAAATATGTAATTGAAGAATATTAATTTCTTTTCATTTGAACTTAGATAGGCTTTTTAGATTTTTATATAATAGATTCACATTTTGAATAATAATAATTTATTAAAAGTAGTGAATAACATAGTTGCTGGAAAATGTATTTTTGACCACTGTCAAATGTTCAAGTGTAAGTTGGAGCTTAGCTTAAGATGGTTTAATAAATTTCACATAAGCTAGAAATTATAAACTTTTTAAACCAAAAACTGTTAAATGAAATGCAGAGTATTCAGTTCAGTTTTAATAAACTGCTTTTAAGAACTTTCATCATTTTTTAACACAAAATCGTTTTATTGTTTTGCATTAAAATTACCAACAATATTACATTTGTTTAGAATAACTTTTTATAAAGTAAATTGATAGCTTTTAGTAAATTGGTAAATCTTTAAATAAATATAAATGTATAGATTTTTATAAAATTTCAATGTAATTTTGTTCTTTAATTTATTTTTTACACTTATAAAATGTAAATTTTTTAGCCAGAACCTGGTAGCCATTACACTGCTTGGAGTGCAATGGGAAATCTGATAAGGAAAGGTTTGGTAACGAAATATGGAAATCCAGCAAAGTAAGAATTATTCATCTTTAATTAATGCTTAATTTGTTTACTGAGTAGAGATTGTACTCAGGCAGTACATATGATTATTTATTGATGCTCTAAATATAAAAGTTTAGCAGCTTATGTAATTGTTCTTAAGGTATTCTCTTGGCTGATCAAACATTTTTTCATTATCCTTCAAAGTGCTTTTAAATGTCAGATCCATTTTGTACCCACTTAGTATCTGTGGTATCTAATTTCTAGTCTAAGATAATAAGTTAATAACTTTTTAACTATATGTAAACATAATCTTTTTGATCGGCCAACCCGACAACTGAAAATTAAAAAAAAACAATACATCTATTGGTTGTATTTAGTTGATTGTTGACTATCGACTGCTACAGTTATGATGAGTTTCTATGCAGAAATGGATCCTTATGGAGAATGCTATATAAAAAATGCTGCTTGAGGAGTTAAATGAGCAGTCAGATAGTGCAAGGATTGTATGGATAAAAACATTGTATTATGTGCAAAAAGTGTGCAAATTTCTTCACGTCTTGTCACATGTCTTTGATTAAGTTATTTTGTGCGTTTTGAATTATTTAACTTGATACTTAAAACAGCTAAATATGGCAAAGTATACTTTATAATCATAATCATATTGTAGTAAACATAATAAAATAAAATGAATTTATAAATATGCCTAAAAATTACCTCTGAAAAAACTAAATTGGTTGTGCTTAAAAATAGTGGCTCTCATTCCAAAAAGAAAAACTTGTTTTAATTAAATTAAAAGTCAAATATTTTAAGTAATTGTAAATACTTAGGAATAAAGTTGCATGTTTAACAATAATTTAAATTACTTTTTGAAGATATGAAAGTCAATTTTAATTAAGTAGCGTTTATCAAATTGTAAATATAGAGTGTAATACTAGTCAAATCTAGGATCATTGAAATCATTTATGGAGATTTTTGACATGATGATTAGATCTGTAATTTGTCATTTTGTATAAAATATATTACTTAAAGTATTAATTATTGCAGTTTTATACAGGGTAATCAAATGGAAAGTTTACTTGGTAGGAGTAGATTTGGCAGTGTCTTGATCTAGGCATGCTTGTGTCTACCATTCAGCAGTTTGTGAGAACTGTTTTAAAATACAGACTCAGGGTAATATTTGAAACTCTAAATGAATAAGCAATAATTGCTGTTGTGACCAGTGTGATGAGTTGGTCAGATGCCACTGAATCACTATGTCAAATCTACTACTAACAACTAAGAATTTTGCTTGATCACATGTTTGTATCTTTATTTGTAATTTTATGTATTTGGATTAAATGTATAAAATATTTTCAGATATAGTCTTACTGAAGGAGGACGAATACTTGCACTTTCTTTAATGGAATCTGAGAGTAGTACGGAGTGCCAAAATAATAATACGGAGGAAATGGTCAAAGACAGCTTGAGGGCAGTAAATACTGATATTAGAAAAGAAACACAAGGCAAGAAAACTGAAACATTGAGGTACAATTACAAAATTATTGCTTTAACATATTTAAAATAAATCAATCTAGTAAGAGGCTGTCCATAAATTACATAAGGTATTTTGAAGTGGGTGGGTGTCAAGGATTTCTTACTGGGGTAGGGGGTAATAGATCTTGTCTTACATAATATTCTTATTTTTATTTTTTGGTTTATGTAAAAATACATAAACCAAAATACATGATACAAAGTAAACATAAAATTAGTATTTAGTTTTTAGTTAAAACTAAAATGTGAAACTAGAAATTATAAATAGTCTTTTCTTCCATATTTTTTGAACATAGTTGTAAAAAGCATTAAACAGTGGTTTCTGAACAAGCTTATCGAGTGGACAAGGCCACCTGAAACCAAGCATAAAAATTTCTAATTTCAGAATAAGTCTATCTTGATCATAAATTGGACAATGATAGATCATATTGTCGATGGTGTCTAGGTTTTCTGTAGAGCAAAAGCAAGAAGCAGTTTCTGCCGGGTTATACATTGCCAGGTAGCTTCTAAAATTACTATGCTCAGTAAGTAGTTGAGCGGTAGCAAATGTTAAATCTCTAAGTAATGATGATAACCTACATTTAACACTAGGAAAATAAAGTCTTGTTATTCTACCAGTTTTACTGCTCAACTACTTTTACTGATTTCACTTTTGCACAGTGTTGTCATGAATATAATTTTTAAAGCTGCTACGTGAGAGGGATGCGAGTGTAGTCCAAATCAGTGCTGACTTAGCCTCAAAGTTGGCTTTTTCATTTCCTAGTATGCCAGTATGGCCAGGAACAAATATAAAAGTTATCTTATTTAAAAGATTTTTAATATGGTGCTGGATATATGCGATTTTATTGCTATTGCAATTGGGATTTAATAGAGCTTTTAAGACAGACTGAGAATCACTGTAAATGCTGATAGACAGAGTTTTGTTTGGTAGTGAAGTGGCCCACTGAACAGCTTGGTAGTCAGCATCTTTTTCAGCTTGATAGATAGAGGTATGTGGGAGGTATCTGTACCTTCTAACATATTTTTGGCAAAATATGTCAGTTTAGAGGAAGATACAGATACTGGAGCTGACAAGAAGGAAGCTTTTGTCCCATCTGTGTAGATATTAATGTTTGCATGATTATCCATGGAGGAAGCAGATGACACCAAATAACCTTATTTACAGGATGGTGATCAGAGATAATAGGGTAATTGCAATGTGGTAGCATATGAACAGCCATAGATAGGAGTAGAGACCGTTGTTGAGCCTTGACGCTTGTAGTTCTGATGTAGTAGTTTAGAACCTTTACTACAATACAGAGGCAAAGGAAGGAGCTCTGCTAGTATCAGAGCGGCTTTAGTAAAAACAGTTCTGCATCACTTTGAAATTCTGATGGCAAACTGGCTTTAAAGAGAGAGTAATTTACTTGCTACTGAACTTTTACTAGTTACATGACCACAGCTTAGAGCCCGCATAAAGTAGCATTGGTTGTATTATATGGAGTTTTATAAGCTTTATGATTTAGTCCCCAGGTGCACCTAGCACATTTTAGCTGCATGTAGTTTATTTTCTTGGCCTTAGCCAACATGTAATCAATATGGTAAAGGAATGTGGTTTCTCTCTATTCTCTGTTGTTTTATTTTGTACACATGCCCTAGCTAGTCAATCTAGCAAAGTTTTTTTCATCATTTTGGAAAACTAAAATTAATATAAAAATAAATATTATGATGTTGAATAATAATAATAATGTTAATAATTAAAAAATAAAGTTCTTAAAATAAATTGTTCATTCGAATTCATTAAATTTTTATATTTTTAAATTTGTTCATATAATGTCTTTTATAAATAATAATACATGTTAATTAACTAATTAATAATTATATATTTTGGACCTAAGGTTTTTAGAGTTTTCATTAAAAAAATATTTTTGGTTAAAATCTTTCCATAAAATCATGCCAAAATATTACGTAAGATAGGGAGGGGGATAGGGGGATCAAAGGAATATAGGAGGTAAGATAGGGGGATCAAAGAAAATATTACGGTTTCTTACACAGGTGGGTGGGGGTCTAGAATGGCTGAAATCACCCTTATGTAATTTATGGACGGCCCCTAATTTGAGAAAAACACTATTATTTATGCAGAAATTTTATTAATGTCCATTTGCAAAACATATTATTTATAAATTTTACTGATATTAATGTGGTTTTTATTTTATATCCCCAAAAAAGTATGGATTTATTCTTTTATATAAAAAAGTATTAAAGTTTGTTAAATACAAGCATTTAAAAAGCATCCATACTTAATTTACTCATCATTTGATTATTTAGATAATCTAAGTACATTGAATTTATGGAGAAACTCTTACTCTATAAACAGAACAATGTGTCTTGTGTCTAGTTTAAAATTTAAACTGGAAAGAATCAATGTTGTCAGAAGACTGCATAATTGTTTATAATAAATATTCAGTGTATGGCAGAAATCACCTCTATTGAATTACCCCTCACAAATCTCTTAACTCTTGTTTACACAGCTGGAAACAATAGATCAAGGAGAGGAAGATCAGAAATAACCTTTCAAACAATATAAACAGATATTGTTTTGTTTATTTATAACAAGATTTGTGCATAATGAGATTACAGGAGCTGACATGGAAATTGTATCACCTATGATATACACTAGAAAGTGTTCAACAGATGTGCAAAGTAGCATATGTAAATCAGGACTGTGAAGTCAGTAGACCAAGCCCTTGTGCTTTCAAAATTGTCTGTGCTACACTAGAGTCATTTCTGCTAAAATCAAGGAACATCAGTATAGCATTAAGAAGAAATTACCCAGCATGGTGCTAGCCCCTCTCTATTTTTTTCTGCTGTATGAGCACTAAGATAGTCTTTTTTGGCAAACCCATTGTGGGTTTGGCCATGCCTACAATGGGTTGGCGAGGGACTGTGCCCAACATATTTGGACACTACTCAAAAAATTTCTGGGGTTATTTCAACCTGTCCAGATTCAGTCCCAAATTCCCCAGAGCGATAGACAGCTAACTTGATCGCTTGGCCATCTGGCCAACAGTGCTAGCCATTTACACTAGGGATTGTGAAGTCCAGCTTGATTTTGAAAACACAAGATTGTTAACATCTGGAGATATAGAGCCATCAATAATCATACAGCCATTAATTATATGGAGACTGACTCTTTTACCTGCTTGGTGGGTATCATATGAACTTCCATAAGACTCCTTTAATGCTTTTTTTTTTTTTTTTAAGTTTTTAAAGCAATGTTTTAGGTATAAATGTAAGGTTTGCTTGTTTGTGCCATAGCACATATGTGAACTTTGCTTTTGCTTATTTGAAATTCAATTTGAATTTTGTTCTTTAGTTTGAAATATTTTTTGATTCTGCATTAGTCTTGTGTAACCTGCTGATGTTTGTTTGAAGTGGACGAAAAATGTTCGTTTTGTAAATATATTGGACTTTTACAACTGGTTTTGATATTTTGTCTGTGTTCCTATCCAGTGGTGATATTCAAAATATTTAACAAAGGGTTTGCTAACAGAAAATTTTTTCTTAACAATATTTCTTCATTCAAATGGTGCTTTAGCGCAAAAACTGACCTTAAGATACCCATATAAATAAAAAAGATATATATTACACGTGATGATAAAACTGACATAACTATGCGGTAAGTTACCGAACACCAACAAACAAAATGGAAGTTTTGGTTAGAAATAAATACAAAAGTTTTTCTTGTGATATATCTAATAATAGACAGATGTCATTGTCTCTCGAATACAATATCTTTTTTATTTCGCTGTCGATAGCCCGACACATGTTCCGCAGCCATCTTGTATTTTCTTAAGTGCATGGGATTGTGGGATCTCTCTTATGACTGGATCTAGTTTCAAGAACTCTCTTGAGTCGATCGCCATTAAACCTCGTTTCAGTCAAGATTGAAACAGTCGAGGGAGGTTGCACCAAGGTGAATGGGGTATAAGACTCTAATTTAGTAGTGTTACGTAGTATAATACGTATATTTTAATATATTTTTTAAAAGAAACAAAACCACTGAGAAATGTTCATGTGTTTAACAAGGTTCAGAAAACTTTCAAAATGTTAACAACGGGTTAGGCCGAATCTATGAAAACCCGCTGAATATCACCACTGTTCCTATTTAAGAATCACCAGTTTTAACTAAGTTATTGTCAGACATATTTTACTTTATTTACTATCTTGTTATAGTGACATGGTACGGAATTGTCCCAAAACATGCAGCATTTTCGACACAAAAATTGTTCCTTGATTGATAGAATTAACTTGGCAGATGTTTTTGTAGCATTTGCATTTACAGACTCATTTATAAAGTATAGTTTGTCATCACTGGATATGAATCCCAAACCGTTTGAAGTACAGGAAACTTAGCTTTCAGCATCAAACAATTCCTATTATATGTCTTGCCTTTTCTATATCTAACATAAGATTTGCTATCAGATTCATGCAGGTTAAATTTGGATTAATTCCAAAACATGAGAGTTCCTCATGCCAATGCTTTCATCCTCATGTCCAGATAAGCTAGTGTGTCTGCATTTTATTCATCAGTAATGAATTCTTACATCAAAGGTAAGCATTTAAAGCCATGTTGTAAAGATGGTATTGTATAGTTTGCACAATTGCTTTAATGTCTGTCTGCTTTTTCTGTTTTATTTCACTTTGGAAGTATCAGCAGTGTGTTCTTGCAGGCCGAAATGCTTTGGCCTTCTATTCCTGACACAGCATATGTTTGTATGTTTACTTTCTGATCTGGCTTTTTTTTTTTCATTGTCATCATGTTTGCAACTCCTTTTGTTACACAAATGTACAAAGCACATTCTGCACAAGAGGATAAGTCTTGAGCATTCAAAGCAACGATTACAGATTTTTTTAAAACAGTGTTTGACTGTTGCAAACTTTGTTTTCATTAAAAAATGAGAAGCATCTGTACAGTACATGGGCATTGGAGGATCCAATTGCTAAACATTTCTGCAGTAGAATTTATTAGCCAGTAAAAAGTGTTCTTATATTTATGATTTCAATCATGATAATCTTTATAGCTTTTTACAAGTTTGCAGCAAAATGATACAGTCAAACCTTGGGTTTTGAACTTAATTCATTCCTAAAAGTTATTTGAGAATTGATTTTTCTAAAACTGAAACAAATTTTTCCATAAGAAATAATATGAAATACATTCTTAATGCCAAAACAAAACCTTTTGTTTTTACCTGTTTAGCTGTATTTCATGCATAAAAATGCCTATAAAGGCAATATAACATTATTTTATCTATATCTATATTTATTCTGTATATATATTAAAAGCAAAATGAAGTACATGCAATCTCTTTTGTAATCTTCATTTTCTTCTATTAGTGGTTATGAAAAAATTTTATTGCATTTCAAATGAATTTTTCAAGTAGAAATAACTAAGAATTTGTTTAATATAAACTAATAAATTCAAACATTTTTAGGTTGAAATACAAATTTATCGATATTAATGGTAAAGAAACTGATGATTGTAGAAAAGCACTACAGATAAAAGATGGTATTTTTACTGTTTATCTTTTAACTAATTACTATTAAGTAATTATTGATGATTTAATTTTGATTAATTATCAAATATTTTAAGTATTTAATATTTTCTTTTATAGATTTATCAGGTTTTATTGGCTATTTGATCAAGTGCAACAGAAAAGATTTGATTCAATCTGGCATGAGACATAAAATTGATGAAACTAGGTAAGAAAGGGAACAAAATGATATTTTGGTAAAAGAAAATGTAATGCTATAACAGTATAAGCCACTTTTTTACTCAGATGGTACCACTCAGCTATTTTCCAATATATTTTAAAATTTTTAAACAAAAGTAGTAGAAAGTTTAATCTTATTTAATTTCTAAATTTATTCTGTGATTTGAAATTCTTGTGGTAAGTTCCAGTTTTTTTTTTTTGCTGTATTTGGATAATTAATTCTATGAAAAGTAAATTAATTTATGTTATATATAATAGAAAAGCCAGTATCTGAAATACAGTTTTTTTTTTTTATTATTATTTTATTAACTAATTCTCCAGAACCTCCTTTGATAACAATTTTGTGCATTTCTGATGTCATCGTCATAGCAAACACTGAGATTCCTTGTCAATTGTTAAGGAAATTATGAGAAGAAATCTTGGTAAAAAATGTGCAGTAGCAGATATGAGGATGTTCAGGTTTATGTTAGCTGATAGGATTAGGAACAAGCATATAATGGAGAATAGGATTTGGAGTGCATATAAGTGTATATAGTTTAGGAGTATGAGCACTAGAGAGAAGCTTGTGGAAAATTGGAAATTAGACATAGATGGTTTGGGCATATGGTTAGAAGAGTAGAGGATGAGTTAGTTCAATGAGTTATGGACATAGGAACTAAAAGAAGTATTGGTAGGCCAAATAAAAGTTGGGAATTAGCAGTTAGGAAAGATTTAAAAGAGTTAAGTGTGTAGATGGCTCAAAATGGATAATTTGGAGGATGAGCACATCAAAGCTCAACCCTCCTGTGAGAGGGAAAAGGAATGTGATGATGATTGTAGTAATAAGAAATTAAAAGTACTGTTTATTTTTACTGTACAATGTATGTGTTATGATATAAACTTCTACAAAACTTTCAATTAGATGAAGTTTTATATGAAATATTAATATTTTGTATAAAAGTTATTCTATGTAATTAAAACTTTTTCTTCTGTTGTTTCTGCATTCTGTTTTAATTAGATTAATGTTAGGGGAAGATGTTTATGCTTATCTTCACAAAAGCGATTGCAATCAGTATGGAGACATTTCAGGTAATGTATGTTGTAAGTATAAATACTACTTTCAAAATATTTCATTTGGTATTAAAATTTATTAACGGGATTTGTATTACTTTAAGTAAATTTGCTTGATGTTGACCAGTCTTGCTCCAACAATTATAAAAATAAAGAGATGGTTCTTTACCCTGGCACTTTTGATGTCGTTTTAATTGTAGATAATTGTGAAGTTTGTGTTGGGTGAGTAGAATTTTATACACATAAATTTATATCTAACAAGTAAGTACAGTATAACATAGTTTAGCAGATGTACTCAGAACCAAAGACTTTTTCCACTTAATTTTTTTAACAGATACTTAAAAACTAGTGGTTCTCTGTTTCAAGTGTCACAGACTTCTAACACCCCCACACCATGAAGGACTGTAGATCACTGGGTTGAGAAACATGGCCTAAATTATTGTATATTTTACAATACCCAATAATTTTATTTTGTAAAATATATATATATTTTACAAAATAAAATTATATATATATAATAGAAAAACCAATATTCAAAATAACCGAAGAAATTACCAAAAATATAAGATATTTTTATGGGATAACCAATTAACATAATTTGGCATTATCTATTTATAGAAGTGTTAATTACAATTCTGTACTAAATTTAATAATTAGAAATTAATGATTGAATAATTTAAAGTAATCTTGCATGGAGTGGTGTCTAAAACTGTAACTACCACAATTGCTATGAACTAAGCAGATATTATCAATTACACTATCTACACTCATCAAGCAGGAAGTTTGCTAATTTTTCCCCGATGTGTAACTCATTTTGATTCATTCTGCTTCTGTTATTCATTCCTTCAAAAGTCTCTGATCTTAATGCTTCCTTGCTTTATGTAAGGGAGAAAGACTTGTCACTCTATCAATGTTTGATGTGAAAAAATGTCAAGAGGAGTCTAAAAAAGGAACTGTAAAATTTCATTTGACCAGTTTAAGGACAGAAATTCTATGAAATGATAGAATCAAACATAAATATGAAATCTCTGGGACATATATGATTATTTTACTGCTCATTTAACAAAGAAGTTTTTAATCGATCATTCCGTTACTGGTTTCTGTGGATTATTTCAAAAAAACCTAAAGCTATTGGCACGGATTTAAGGGTGGTCTGAAGTCAATGGTTGTGACTGTGTGTTGTAGCATTAAATATTCACTTTACTTCTAATTATCAGTTTTATTTTTTAAAATTTGTCTTATATTTTTTGGAAGTTTTTAAACATAACCCACTTTGTAATTTTTACCCATCTACAGGTAATAGCAGTTTATATTATTTTAAAAGAAAAGGACTGAAGAGATGTCATTAAGACCCGAAATGCATTTCTTCCATTAATAAAGCCTATATCGATAACTGTTCGTTGTGTGATATGTTACTGAAAAAAAGCCAATAGCTTTAGGTTGTTTTGAAAGAAGTTTTTGAGAATAAGAAGGGTAGGAAATTTTTGTCAGTTGTCCATGGAAGAATCTTCATCAAGATAAAAGTATGTTAATAATTCTATTGCTGTTCCAGGACTGGATGTTTTGTCTGCCAAATTCAGTTTTTGCTTGTACTTGGAATGTATGTAACTCATATTAATGTACTGTACCATGCTACTGAGAAAGTATTACGTACTAGAGAGCCTTATATATATTATAGTAAATAATTGCACATCCAAACAAGCACACTGGATAAAAAGATTAGTCATCCTGTCAGAATATACCTAATAATTAGTGACATTCAGACCTCGTTGCACATTCAGATGATTTTCAGTCAACTGTGAACTACTATGCCATTTCTAGACCTGCTGGATGGTATGCTTTTACGCATCAACAAATTGGGCGACTTCGTTTATTTTATGTCAGTAGGTGTGATGACTCCCTCTTGCCACTTGGGAATGTCTGTCATACTATCTAGTCTGCCATATTGCAGACCCAGTTTGACATTCATGTTGCTTTTTGCCACTTCACGAGACAGAAATGACCTCAAAGACCACATCTGTGCTATTTATCTCTTGACAATTCTGTCCTGGCAACCAGTAATTACCTACTGTCTTTTCTGTTAGGGGTGACTAATTTTTAGTCCTGTATACTTAGATTCAAATGTTTTTGTTCATCTTCAAAGAATTAAATCTTTGTGAATCTGAAACTGCTGATTCTTTGGTTAAGATTATTTATATTCAAATAATACATTCTGCTAGATTACCCTTGTTTGAAGTAAATTTTAAAATACTTTTTTATAATGTAATTTTTATTATTATTTTATTAACTAATTCTCCAGAACCTCCTTTGATAACAATTTTGTGCATTTCTGATGTCATCGTCATAGCAAACACTGAGATTCCTTGTCAATTGTTAAGGAAATTATGAGAAGAAATCTTGGTAAAAAATGTGCAGTAGCAGATATGAGGATGTTCAGGTTTATGTTAGCTGATAGGATTAGGAACAAGCATATAATGGAGAATAGGATTTGGAGTGCATATAAGTGTATATAGTTTAGGAGTATGAGCACTAGAGAGAAGCTTGTGGAAAATTGGAAATTAGACATAGATGGTTTGGGCATATGGTTAGAAGAGTAGAGGATGAGTTAGTTCAATGAGTTATGGACATAGGAACTAAAAGAAGTATTGGTAGGCCAAATAAAAGTTGGGAATTAGCAGTTAGGAAAGATTTAAAAGAGTTAAGTGTGTAGATGGCTCAAAATGGATAATTTGGAGGATGAGCACATCAAAGCTCAACCCTCCTGTGAGAGGGAAAAGGAATGTGATGATGATTGTAGTAATAAGAAATTAAAAGTACTGTTTATTTTTACTGTACAATGTATGTGTTATGATATAAACTTCTACAAAACTTTCAATTAGATGAAGTTTTATATGAAATATTAATATTTTGTATAAAAGTTATTCTATGTAATTAAAACTTTTTCTTCTGTTGTTTCTGCATTCTGTTTTAATTAGATTAATGTTAGGGGAAGATGTTTATGCTTATCTTCACAAAAGCGATTGCAATCAGTATGGAGACATTTCAGGTAATGTATGTTGTAAGTATAAATACTACTTTCAAAATATTTCATTTGGTATTAAAATTTATTAACGGGATTTGTATTACTTTAAGTAAATTTGCTTGATGTTGACCAGTCTTGCTCCAACAATTATAAAAATAAAGAGATGGTTCTTTACCCTGGCACTTTTGATGTCGTTTTAATTGTAGATAATTGTGAAGTTTGTGTTGGGTGAGTAGAATTTTATACACATAAATTTATATCTAACAAGTAAGTACAGTATAACATAGTTTAGCAGATGTACTCAGAACCAAAGACTTTTTCCACTTAATTTTTTTAACAGATACTTAAAAACTAGTGGTTCTCTGTTTCAAGTGTCACAGACTTCTAACACCCCCACACCATGAAGGACTGTAGATCACTGGGTTGAGAAACATGGCCTAAATTATTGTATATTTTACAATACCCAATAATTTTATTTTGTAAAATATATATATATTTTACAAAATAAAATTATATATATATAATAGAAAAACCAATATTCAAAATAACCGAAGAAATTACCAAAAATATAAGATATTTTTATGGGATAACCAATTAACATAATTTGGCATTATCTATTTATAGAAGTGTTAATTACAATTCTGTACTAAATTTAATAATTAGAAATTAATGATTGAATAATTTAAAGTAATCTTGCATGGAGTGGTGTCTAAAACTGTAACTACCACAATTGCTATGAACTAAGCAGATATTATCAATTACACTATCTACACTCATCAAGCAGGAAGTTTGCTAATTTTTCCCCGATGTGTAACTCATTTTGATTCATTCTGCTTCTGTTATTCATTCCTTCAAAAGTCTCTGATCTTAATGCTTCCTTGCTTTATGTAAGGGAGAAAGACTTGTCACTCTATCAATGTTTGATGTGAAAAAATGTCAAGAGGAGTCTAAAAAAGGAACTGTAAAATTTCATTTGACCAGTTTAAGGACAGAAATTCTATGAAATGATAGAATCAAACATAAATATGAAATCTCTGGGACATATATGATTATTTTACTGCTCATTTAACAAAGAAGTTTTTAATCGATCATTCCGTTACTGGTTTCTGTGGATTATTTCAAAAAAACCTAAAGCTATTGGCACGGATTTAAGGGTGGTCTGAAGTCAATGGTTGTGACTGTGTGTTGTAGCATTAAATATTCACTTTACTTCTAATTATCAGTTTTATTTTTTAAAATTTGTCTTATATTTTTTGGAAGTTTTTAAACATAACCCACTTTGTAATTTTTACCCATCTACAGGTAATAGCAGTTTATATTATTTTAAAAGAAAAGGACTGAAGAGATGTCATTAAGACCCGAAATGCATTTCTTCCATTAATAAAGCCTATATCGATAACTGTTCGTTGTGTGATATGTTACTGAAAAAAAGCCAATAGCTTTAGGTTGTTTTGAAAGAAGTTTTTGAGAATAAGAAGGGTAGGAAATTTTTGTCAGTTGTCCATGGAAGAATCTTCATCAAGATAAAAGTATGTTAATAATTCTATTGCTGTTCCAGGACTGGATGTTTTGTCTGCCAAATTCAGTTTTTGCTTGTACTTGGAATGTATGTAACTCATATTAATGTACTGTACCATGCTACTGAGAAAGTATTACGTACTAGAGAGCCTTATATATATTATAGTAAATAATTGCACATCCAAACAAGCACACTGGATAAAAAGATTAGTCATCCTGTCAGAATATACCTAATAATTAGTGACATTCAGACCTCGTTGCACATTCAGATGATTTTCAGTCAACTGTGAACTACTATGCCATTTCTAGACCTGCTGGATGGTATGCTTTTACGCATCAACAAATTGGGCGACTTCGTTTATTTTATGTCAGTAGATGTGATGACTCCCTCTTGCCACTTGGGAATGTCTGTCATACTATCTAGTCTGCCATATTGCAGACCCAGTTTGACATTCATGTTGCTTTTTGCCACTTCACGAGACAGAAATGACCTCAAAGACCACATCTGTGCTATTTATCTCTTGACAATTCTGTCCTGGCAACCAGTAATTACCTACTGTCTTTTCTGTTAGGGGTGACTAATTTTTAGTCCTGTATACTTAGATTCAAATGTTTTTGTTCATCTTCAAAGAATTAAATCTTTGTGAATCTGAAACTGCTGATTCTTTGGTTAAGATTATTTATATTCAAATAATACATTCTGCTAGATTACCCTTGTTTGAAGTAAATTTTAAAATACTTTTTTATAATGTAATTTTAAATTAGTTATTTACTCATTTTAGTGCTTTAAAAAAAAATTTAAAGAACTTTTGACAGGAAAATATGCATGCAATTGTTATATTTAAAGTGAATGTTGCCACATATGAACATGAAAAATGGAAATATTTAACAAACAAGAACTGGTCATTCCATTTGTTGAATGACACATTTTTCATCATATGTAATATGAATTTCAAATAAAGAAAAACTTAATTGTTTTTTAAAATTTAATTTTTTATTTTTTCTTCTAATATTTATTCCAATTTTAATAATTTTTCAGTTCATCTAACGATCACAGAATTGCAGTTCTTAAAGAACTAGCCAAAATGGGAGTAATGCATGAAGTGCGTAAATTATATGTGGGAGATTTCTTATGGATTGCCAGGAAACGTAATTTGGTAAAGGAGAATTATGAAGAAGAATTAGTTTTGGATTATTTAGTAGAAAGGAAAAGAATGGATGATCTGGCAAGAAGTATAAAGGATGGACGATTTCGCGAGCAAAAAGTAAACATTTAAACATTTAACACTCGTTGAAGCAATTTTTTTATATGAATATATTACAAGAAATTGTTAAAATTCTTGCCATTGTTGATTCTATAAATATTTTTTTTTTTTTTTTCTTTAGTTTCGCATAAAAGAGACTGGCATTAAACATCCTATATATCTCGTGGAAGAGTACGGAACCAATCAGTACTTTGGTCTGCCTGATGCCTCTTTAAAACAAGCGATTGTTAATTGTCAGGTTTGTTTGGTTGAAAACTTCAATTTATTAATTACAATAATTTCAGTTTTAATAATAGAAGCATAATCTAAACTATAGTTTGAAAAATGTATGTACTGTATTATCTCTGAAGTAATGGCACATGTTTATACTTACGTTTACGGCACACAGTATAAATGGCAATACATTATACCTAAAATAACCTTGTTAGTCTTGAAAAAAACTGTTTCAAAAGCAGTTTTTTACTTCTAATTATCACATTTATGTCACCGATAGTTATTTTATCAATACCTTTCTTTACATTTAATTTACATTGAGACAACAGTGCAATGCCAAAACAAGCTGGCATGGATCAGAGCATGCTATATAAGTGAAGCAAGATGTGTGAAGCAAAACTAGTGATTTTACATATAGGAGCTGCCTCTCATTTGTGTGAAAATATGGTAAATATTTATAATTACACCTGGTTAAATTCACTGGACAATATTTCTATTTGATTCTTTTTCTCAAAGAGAGTTTACACTTTATAATCTTTTAGCAATTTGTGTTTGCTGTTTCAAAAATACCAAAATCTGTCATAAAACACTTTTAATTTTAATTTAGTGATATTAAATTGTGAACTTAAATTTTGTTTTCATCTTTATTAATTTGTTGTTGCAATCTTTTATTCATTTTCGTACCTGAAAATGACAATGTTACAGCACCAATCTTATGCTGGTTATTCATCTATAGAACCATGATAAAAATTTATTTGAAACACATGAAAATGCAATGATAGTTTATTAGATAATGATGTGTATATACAGGGATGGCCCAAGCTAAAAATAGGCAGTTGCCTAGAGTGCAGAAATTTAGGGATGCCACAACCAGCATCAGTGAAAGGAAAATATCTGTTGTTTTAATTATACATGTTATGTATACATTCAGATCATCACACATAGGTGTGTAAGCTATTAAATACATGAGGCGTCTAGTAGTAAAATGGGAAGGGAGCCAAAAACTCTCGGGCCAGCTTTGCACATATGCCAGTATAAATGAATGCAAGATTTTTTTTTTGCCAAAAATTTAGATTGACCTGTGGCACGAGTTGGCTCTCAGACACTCAATATACTGTCAATAGGCTATGCTACAAGCAATTTGAAAAAGTTTAAAGTTGCTTAACTTTAAACTTTTTCAAATTATGTTATTAATAACTCTATTGTACATCAGCTCTGTCAATAAAACTTTCAAGCTAAGGTCAACATCCAAAATATAATAATTGTTTACAAAAGTATTACTTGTTACATATGTGATAGAACACTACAATATGCCTTTGTTTACACTCTGTCATCAGCATCAATGAAGTATGTTAATTTATACTGATTATATTAATTTTGTGATAATACAGGGTTCAAGATTAGACTTGTAAACCCTTTCATAAATCCATTGGGATGCTAGGACCTGCTCACTGGGTCACTGGATGGCATTTCAGGAGGGCTAATAGTCATTTAGTGGGGAGAGTCGCAGGTATGTTTGATTGGTATTCGTTTAACAAAAGAACAGACAAATGGATTAGCAAACAATAAGTAGAATTTAATAGACATAGTTTATTTTGTTTTGTAATTATCATATCTACTAAATATACCTATAAATAGCATGCCTATTGAGAGAGAGAGAGTTTACAATAATATATATAATAATACCTCTGATACAGAGATGGATGATGGAAAGCCAGAGTGAGACTATATACTCTTTATGGCATCCATACTTTCATGTGGCAGTGTTCATTCCTCTCTCAACTGCTGCCTTCCTCTATGGTAGTTACTGGATTATTGTCAGCTGCCCTGAGATTACAATTTCTTTCCCTTTTATTCCAAATTCCTCTCCAATTGGGTTTTAGTATTCATAACATCTGATGGGATATTATTTCTGATGCAAATAGACAGATGTTCCTCAGAGATGTGTGATAACATCTCTCCCAAAGGAAGTTTCACTTCCCTTCCCACGAATTTAACAGAAATGTGTTAAATTTGGCATCAATTTATATTTTAACAAATTCTTAATAAAATTCAATTATTCTGGATTCTCACAATTTCAATGTTAAAAAACGTACACCAGTTATAAGTTTTAGTTGAAATGTTTGCAGCAACTGGCTAGAGTTTAAGCATGACGATTGTTAGAAGTGCCAATTCACATATTTAACCCAAAATTGTAAAATAATAATAATCTCAGCTTTAAATGTATTTTACATGTCTGTCTACTTCTAGTCATTACATGCAAGTCTGATGATTTTTTTTTTTTTCCTCTCAAAATTCAATTTACCAAAGTTGTAGTTACTTATATTTTTCAAATCCAAAATATAAACGTTTTGAATAAATATCAGTAGGAATTTTAAAACAGGTTGATACCATACCAAATTTTCCAGAATTATTTATATGTGAAATTACCAAATGGAGCAATTGTCTCTTCTCCAAAATGTAAAAAAATGCCCACAACTCTAAAGCTGGAGATATGTTAGCATATAAAGTATTCCGTTAAGACAAGTGTAATTTTTTACAAATGTTGCCTAAACAACATAAGTATATGATGTAACAGTATATTTCATGACAGATGTACTGTAGAAAGAAAGTACAGGGTGGGCAAAAAGTTTGTAAAAACTTTTAAACATTCATAAAATTGGGAGAATTATCAGAATGAAATGGAGTTTGCATGGTAAGTAATGTCAGTACAGGTGGTTTTGTAGACAGGAAAAATTTTTCAAAAATCACCAAAAGGGGACATTGACATACAAAAGACAACAATAGACTACAAACTATAATGAAAATGACTGTCAACGTGTTTATTAGACAAGTAAATGTTCAACACTGCCTCCACCAAAGGAATAACACAATTTAGCTAAGTAACTTTACCTGCAACTGCAACATGTGGCAGGTCCAGTTGGATAGATGTCTCGTAGTGAATGGCATTTTTCAATTCCAACAATACAGAAGGACCCGATCAAAACACTTGGAAATTTAAGTAACCCCACAACCAGAAATTGCATTGAGTCATTTTCATTGTAGTTTGCGGGTCTATTAGTTGTCATCTTTTGTATATCAATGCCACCTATTGGCAATTTTTGGAACTAATTTTCCCATCATCGACAAAAGCCACAATGCCAACATACACGTAATGCAAACCACATTTCATTTCAATATTACTTCCATTTTTTGCTTTAACTTTTTATGGAGTTTTGCCAACATTCTTGGACATCCCATTAGCACATATTGACATATGGTACTTTTAACTCTGCTTCTACACTGCACATTTTCAAATTGCTCGGTATCCGAAGAAATTTGTTTTCCGCATTTTCCATTAATATTTAGTATTGTGTTTGTTTCTACTTGCGGACCGAACCATCATTCAAAATTCTAATGTAAAAATCTAACAAATCAGTCCTTTCATAATTAAAATGTAATCTACAGCTTTTCGAATTTCAGGTGTAAAATTCTCCCAGAAAGTTTCCAATTGCTCTTCCATTTAATGTAACAAAACCAAAAAAATTTGAATTTTTTTTCAGGTGGTGGATGGATTCTTAATAACAAAGACTAAAAATGCCAAATCTACAGTCGACTACCTGACGACCATGACGCGATATTTGCAATGTTTCTACAATGTAGGTATTGTTTCTTAAATTTAACTCTCATTATTTTCAGAACACAGATCGTCTTCAAAACAAACAATTTCTTTTGTATGAAAGATAGAATGTTGCCAGAATTTTTTTTATTATAAAATTTGTCTCTACTCTCAAAATTAAATTGATTTAATTATAATTATTAAACTTTTTTTAATGAAATAATCTTAAAAGTTATAACTTTTTTGTGTGAAGTTTAAATAAGCAATTGAATATTGGGGAATTTGGTTAAGTAATGGAATTATGAGTAAATTCCATTACCGTGGTGTGTGCTTGGAAGTGTGGCAATGATTGGGTCAAAATACATAATTTAATCCTTTGAGTGATGCTTATGTATTGTGTGGAACCAAATTCTAGATTATTAAGCTTAATATAGCTTATTTACTGTTTTTTGGTTTGGGACGACAAACAGCGTTTTCCGTTTCGCATCAGAAGAATTTTGACCTGAAAAGATCTTCTGTATTGCAATGAATGCAACCAATTTACATTGACATAAATTTTCATCATATTGTCTATTAAATTACTGTCATGCCATTATCCTACCAATGGAACTATGCTAAAGAAACATGGAAACACACAAAGTGAATAGTGAAATAAGTAAACATGTTCCATCAATGTAAAATTCTTCAAATCTCTTAACCTGACCACATTACAAATGATGAAGTTCTATACAGCTGACTTGGTTTTAAGTTTTATTTGTGTGACCGGAGGGTCTGCACCACATCAAGATGACACCAGTATGTCGGAATCGACATACGATCATGATAGCGATCTCATTCTCGCGCAAGCGGTTACATATAGAAGGCAGTTGGATCTGAATGGAGGAGACACGAGAGAAAGAGACAATGCATTTAAGGAAGTGCACCAAACCCAAATTAAACAATAACAATTATCCGTTTATTTAGCTAATTATACAAAGATTAATATTTAAAGTAAAGGTTGCGTCTACAATTTAACAAATTCTCATTCTACATTGAGAGAGAGCTTACATCTAGATAAGTTGTATAGATACCTTCAATACTGGATTTATGGAGCTCGCGGTTAGATGAAGTCACTTTTTTCAAGCATTCTTTTCAAGAAGTTATTTTTAAGAGTTCTTTTTTCTGAAGGAGTCAGTCTAAAGGAATCACTTATTCAAGGTGTTTACTCTAGACGGAGGAGAATCCAGGAGATATCCAAACGAGGGGCAACTCAGCGAGATGAACTTCTGGCGACAATGACATTGATCGTCCTCCATCCCTCCCTTTTATTGGGGGGGTTTTTTTGTGTTTCCTCTTGTCCTTTTTTGGAAATGTTATAGGTCATGGCCAATAGATGAATTTAGGTGAAAGTTACAGATGACACATTCTGAAGATGTGTCGCCCTTTGAAGGAAGTGAATGTGGTGGAAAACACATCATATCCTTCCATCTTTTATTAATTGTTGGGAAAAAATTTTTAGTATAATTTTCTTGCGTTAATATAAAATTTAAATGTTAATTTTCTTTTAATTAATAAAAAAGTTATAATCAATAATAAAATCTGAGCTCTCACATTTGTATAGGGCAATGCAAAATGTGGGCGATCTGCTGAGGGGATGCCTTCCGGGAGGTCTTTTTTTGTGGGAAAATGGCCTCTATTTAGATGTTACTAACATGAAGAAAATCCAGAAAACTTCAGTCAGTCTATTGCAAGTTATGAATCCTCCACAGCCAACTACGGTGTTCAGCTGTTTTATCCACTCTGCCACCAATGAGCCAAAGGTATCTGTTGCGGTGCAAAGATTGCATACCTTCTAATGAAAAACAAGGAGGAAGTCAAGCAAGATTGGGCAATGTTCCGAGATGATCTTTGAAATATCGAGTTGAATGATGCAATTTCTATTGTGAATGCTCATAGGTGACAGAGAACTCTCATTGCCAAATATGCTCGATCATACATTTGCATCTAAGTAACATTTAAACTTGGTACTAGAATATGAGCATTTACTCATAAAAATTAAAAGTGTTGGTTTGGTTATTTGAAATAAATGATAAAAAACATATGTTGTGTGCCATCTTATATCCTCCACTACACCCATGGCTAGTCCAAGCTGTAACTCCACTAGGCTACTGCCTAGTGTAGCCTTAGTTAAAAGGAAATATTTATCAATTATTTTAATTAGACATTTATACCTCTAGAGCCACTGCACATAGGTGAGCAGTGGCTCTAGAGGTAATGGCTCTAGCACTGTACATAGGACATCTATTAGTAAAAGGGGAGGGTGCCTAAACTCTTGGGATGGCCCTAGCTACACTTCCGTATTTCTATAATGGAAATTTAGGAAACTTCTCACAAAAAAATTAGTTAATTAGTCTTTAATTATTTCTGTTAACCAAATGTTCTTTACTTGCATGTATTTAAAAAACCCATTGTTTAATTGAAAATTCAATAGGAATTTACCAATTATAGGAGAAAGAATTGACGTGCTGTGATAGAGAAGAGTACATTAATTCAGCAAAAGATTCCAACCGTTTCTTGACTTTCAAAGAATTTAACTCGTCTGCTGTCAAAAAAAAGGTAAGTTTTGGATCTGCCCATTATGGTCAATCATCCAAAATAATCGAGGTGGGAAGTCAGCTTTGGTGTTTGTTCATAAGAAAAATTTCATTTTTTGATCAAAGAAAGAAAAATTCCCCTAAGGCATAGTTAATCAATTTAAAAAATTTAAATGCATTTGAGTTTGTTGTTTTGAAAAACAATCCGGCAATCATTATCAATTCTTTTGTATCAATCCGCTCGTGTATTGGTTTCTATAGAATGGCTTAATAATTTATGGATCCTTGCAAGTCATTTGGCTGAGAGCCAACTAATCCCAGGAGAGTTGCTAGGTTATGACCTGGCATCTCTCCTCGGCATTGGTTGCATAAATATAGTAAAATGTGGCACACTGGAATGCATGCAATCCCAACTTTTAAAGTTGGGATTGCATGCTTTCTTTTAAAGTTTTAAATAAGATTGTGATAAAAATTTAGAAAACATTTATGCATTTTTAAATGCCAATTTTCCAAATATTATAATTTTCAGTTTCTGATACTGAGATGTTAGACCAGTGGTTCCCAAACTTTTTGATTTTCAGCACCCTTGCTAAATCCAGATTTTCCCAAGGCACCCTATGTCAAATTCTAATAAGTACAATTTGCAAAGTAGCCAATATTTTTTAAATTAAGTAAAATTATAAAAATTTTATAACATTTCGTGGAGCCCCTGTGAGGAAGCTGCGGTGCCTTAGGGCACTGTGGCAAACACTTTGGGAACCGCTGTGTTAAACAATGACTGGACTATTCAAAATCATTAAATTTTGGTGTGGGCTTAACCTATTAAAACAGACACTTGCAAAAATAGCCCAGGACAACTCCCCAATAGCCAAATGCTACCATAGTAACAAACTCCAAATAGAGATTCAACTATGAAACGAAGAACAAAAATATTTCGACCTTCTTTGAAATATTTTTGCTCTTTGTTTCAATGTAACTGCACAGCAGTATTTTTTGTCTGAAGAAACACGTATGTCACATGTCTTGCTTACCAGAAAATGTAGAATGCCCTCTACACTGGAATTTTACTCGCATGCTTAAATCCCCATTTTCAATAACTTAGATTGTCTGAGGAGTCTGTGGACCATTTTTGTTCCACAGACTCCTTCTCAGAATAATGTTTTTACATGCATAAAATAAAATTACAAAAAAAAAAGTTATTAAAATACAAAACGAAATATTACTATATAAGTGCTTCTTTCATAGCACAATAATTAACAATACTATACATTCCATGGCCCCCAGATTTAATTTGCCATTTTTCGGCTTCGACACTTTCATAACAAGATGGTGTAGGTCCTTGGTCTCTATCTTAGGCACTTCTTTAACAATTATATTGGAATTAACATGCCCCATTTGTTCCAAATTTTATCTCTGTTGCTTCCTTTTCAAATTCATCTTTACATTATATAACAAATTAGACAAACCAAGTAACAACATACATCTTCAGATGACCAAGCTCTACAGAATATATTAGACAATAATGGACAAATTCAATCTACAATGGCATCAATACTGTATATATTTGTTCTGTTGTATGTGCTAAAGACTTGGCACTTTTTGGCCTACCTAGACCCTTGTGCTACAAAAAACCCCAATTCCAACCAACAAACCAAGTAAATACTAGACATTGAGATGTTTTTGTAAAAGTCCCGAAGTGTTATGCTCAAGAAGAGAATGTAAGAAAATAACTACCTATGCAGTAACATTTTAAGTCAGACATCAATTACGATCCACATTCTTATCTATTAAAGTACAACAGAATTGTGGAAGAACTGATGACTTGTTACTTTACATTTAGGCTACCTGGCAGTGCCTATAGACTATAAAAAGTGCATCTTACATTATACAAGAAGCTTCAAACTCTATGATTTGACATTAAATTGGCACTCTGAAGTGACTCTGGTCACACTCTGGCTAACTTGGTCTCAAAACTGAGGAATGTGATCGACATATGCCAAACAAATAACTACATACTGTAAACTTAGCTTCACAGGACAATGGACAAATATCGTTCACTAGTTTCTTTTATATTTGCATAATAGCCTATTGTTTGTCAGTAATGAAATTTGGGGCCTCCTTGGGGATTAGGAAAGGGACAACCTGAACAAAAAGGGTGTTTGCACCCCCAATGTATTGAAACCCCTTAGCCCATCTGTAGACTTTGTTGTCATTGCAACCATTGTCCATTTTATAGTTTATTTGAAGACATATCCCTCACGTAATCTAATCAAATTAGTAAGGGGTGATGATCAAAAGAAAATTCTAGCATGTGTTCACAGCAAAAGCAGTCTACATTAACTTAACACAAACGATACTTTTACATTGATTAGTACTTGTGTTTTCTGCTAAACATCACAAATGTGGCCTGCTTGTTAGTAATACAAACTAACAGTTAAATTACAACTATGTGCTCTTTCAATGTAGAAGCTTTTATAGGGCCCCTATCAATGGAAACAAAAAAAGACAATTTGAATAACATAATTTAATATGGAAAATTTCACTCAAATGATTAGCATTCTGTCATTTTCTGTCTCTGTTTTAAGGCAATATCCTTAAATTATAACTTGTGTATTGTTTGTTATGCAACTATACGAAAGCATTAGCAGTTTCACTTCTTGCTGCTGTGCCACACGTGTGCATTGTTTGTAAGAGTAGTGAAAAGATGATAAATTGTTTTGGGTGTTTTTGCAGCAATTGGTACTGAAAGAGATGTTCGCCAAACACCTCATACAGATAGGTGGCATCTCACCCGACAAAGCCTATGCCCTGGTCCAGATGTATCCCACGCCAAACCGGTAAGCATGAGTCTCTACTTCTTTTTGTCTACTTTTGTTGAAGTCTTTTCCTAATGTCCTATCCACAGATTGATAGAAGCATACCAAAAGACGTCTGAAGGAGAGAGACTTCTGTCGGAAATCATCTACGGCCGCAGTCGTAGGTAAGTGTCGATTTTCCCTCAACTTCCAGTTTCTGTTCTCATCTATTTTTGGCCTGGCAGAAAAATCGGACCCAAGATCAGCCAAATCGTCTTCCAGCTCTACGGTGATCTCTGTCCCCGTTTCTCTTGGTTGGCTCCTCAAATAGAAGAAAACAAGAAAGATAATCCTTCTTCGTCTCAGGAGCAATAGTTATCAGATGAGAAAGAAAAATGGACATTGGAAAACAAAGATTTGCTGAAGTATCAACAAGTCTTTATTGTAAGTCTCCTTGGCTAATTCTTAAACTGACCTCGAAAAGAAAATAATGTATGTTACAGCAGAAATGCCATCTTTCTTCATTGTAACCATTCTCATTATAGAGGTCTGATTCTACTTGGGTTTTGGTGGTGGTGAAAATGTAGAACTGTTCTATGGAAAACAGTGGCATTTGCAGCCAGTTAGAGATGCTAATTTAGAACTGTTACAGTCCACTCAATTGATTAAATGCAAGATACACATCCAATGTCAGAATAATCTATTATCATTTTATTGACTATTGGAATGGTGTGACCAACCACTAGAATGGCATTGATATGCATGTCATATGTGAAAAAGAACAACATTATACTATATATTTTTTTAATGAAAATCTTATATTTTAAAATAAAAAATGCTACTAAACATAGTTATATACAGTGGAACCTTGCTTAACGAACATAATTCATTCCAGAATCTTACTCGTAATGCGAAACAATTTTTCCCATATAAATTAATGTAAAATATGATAATGTGTTCCATGCCAAAAAAATACAACATACATTGTTAAGGAGCATGAATCATCATAATTTCTTCTAGAATGGAATAAACCAACCTGTAATGCAAATTTGATTTTTAGAAAACAAAAAAAAATCGCAGTTAATATGTTTGATAAAGACGCCAATAGATATGCCAAATTCTTGGGCAGAACATCATTGGAATCATGCTCAATGTTCCAAATGCCATTGTCAAACTTCTAGGCTTACGAGATGGCAGCACTCAACATTCATGTTTTAGAGACAAAAACGTTGGCTGCAACCTCTCTATTAGAAATTAATTAATTTGACTAGAGGTAGGCAGTTATGCTGCCGTCTCATATTAAAATTTAATAATTATAAATAAATAATTTTTAATTTAGACATTTCTAAAATTTAATTTGAAATTGGTCATTAAATTTAATAAAAGATGGCAGCATAACTGCCTACCTTTAAATATTAGAAATTAATTAATTTGACTAATTATAGCCTTAACATAGCCCAAGAATTTCACATACCATGTGGTGTGTTTATTATATAACGTGCTATGGTTGTTGCTGTTTATATGTAATATGTGTGAACACAAATTTGGAAAAATGTTTCATCACAAGTGACACTAAGATCCTAGTGAAACAAATGCTGATGGAACATGTGTACAATCCAGGACTTCCCCTCTCATCACTCATTATGTGGAACATTGCTCATTAAGAGAGTTGTTTTTTACAATTTGTTTTGCTCGTTAAGCAAGGTTCCACTGTATTTGTTTCAAGTTTTGGGATCCTGGTCTGAGGGGATTTTCATCTTAGTTCTTGTTCAGAGAATAGACAGATCCCTGGTATTCTATCTGTTTTTGTTTGTGAAACTATTGTTCAAATTAAATACAGTGGGTGATCGGTTAACAAACATAATCCATTCCAAGACTTTGTTTGCTGTACAAATTGTTCATTAATCGGTTAATGATTTACCATAGGATTTTATGGGAATTTGATTAATTTGTTCTGGATACCCCAAAAAATAAAAAAAATATTCTTTCTCACTATGTAATACATATATACACAATCTTGCATTTTTATTAGTCATGTTTTTTCTGTTCGTGGTGGGGGTTAAAGAATCTGTCTAATGTCGGTTTCTTTTCTCTCTTCTTCAGGATTTTTCAGAATGAATTAATAGCATTGTAATTGTAGAGATCCCCAAGCATATTAACCTCAACTTGGTTTGGATGCCATTCTAAGACTGTTGTTCTGACATCCTCCTACTTCAAAAGATCTTTAATAGCAAATATTGGCATTAATCCTCTTTTTCAGAAAAAAATATATCTTGCCGAGTTTTTTTTTTTGTGTTCTTCATTTAAGTGTTCTTGGTGTTCTTCTGTCATCAGATCCGTTTCAGGTTCCATTATGATCTCTTCAATGTTCTTTATTTCTCAGATGTGATTTTCATTACTCTTTTAGCTGCTTGAGTCTTCTTGATTATACAGTATTTTTCTTAAATGAGATTGAACTGTGGCCTACCGTAGACCTGTTCAAGCCATACTGCCCAGCAACATCAGACATCTTCTGCCCACTCTCTACCTTTGCTATTATACTCTCACCTTTCAAAAATAAAAACCAATGCAAAACTTAACAAGTGCCTGCCCAACAGTCTTGCAAATACTATAAATGGATTGTTTCTGTCAGAAAAACAAAAGGCTGGAATTACAAGGGAGAGTTTTAAAGTTCGGAGAAGTACTATCCAGTCAGCATATAATGGGTTGAGCGTTGATGTCAACGTCTCTCGCACTAGAAAAGTTTCGAATTGTTGCTTGAAGACAAGGGAAGACCAATCAGTATTCATTATTTTGCATTGCTTCGTCTTGAGTTTGTTCTGCAAGATGTTCATTGTCTGAACATAAAAATCTTTTGCGAAAGTGTTCATTATCCAATTTGTTCATAGCCTTAAGACAGTCCAGGAAATTTGGCCCTATTTATGCAGTACAAAGAACTGTCCATTATTAAATAATGAAATAGGTGTGACGACTGAACAAAAGTCTCAATATTTCATGCTCCAATATTCTATAAATAAGCAACGTGCAGAATTAATAAAGTAAATTTTATTAATACAATATGATAGAAAATTTTACAGCCGGATTTTGATGCTCAGTAAATGGAAAAAACCTATAATCGTCCCTCTTTTTTTGTGGCAGCCACGGTCTTCCGTGCCCACTTTCTGTGACTTTAATTTGTTCCCGGTGGCTAATATTTACATAAAATTCAAAACTTTTTCTCTTTTTCCAGTCTGGTAACAAAAAGAACATAAGAAAATAAATGTATCAGTCACCCACTGCACTATTTACAATGATTACATGCGATAGCTGAAAAAATCTTCCAAACAAAACAACTTCAAGTCTGGCAAAATAGTTAAAAATTTTAAGTTAATGGGTATTACTACTATTTTTATAGTTACATCATTTTCCATTTGATGGATAAGCGAAACAGAAGCAGTAAATACAAAAAAAAAATTTTTTTACATAAGCAGTGCCACAAAGAGAAATGTCAATGGTTTGAATTCTGTGATCAGCCAGACAAATTAAAAGATTCCAATAAATGTTTCAGAATTAATTCTACTATCGTCTACAGGATGTATGTTCTTCCATAAAATGGCCTTTTTATTTCTTCAATCACAAATTGGCTGCCTATTAACATAACACTCCCTCAGCACAAAAATCTCCAGATTCTATTTTTAACTAGTACTGCAGACGCAAACGGGTAGAGTTATTTAAAAAAATAAAATCTAAACGGTAAAAAATTCGGTCGTAAAAATTTCTATTGGATGTTACATAAAAGAAGAATTGGGTAATGGAATGATTGTGATCCTCGAGGTCTCAAAGATTCTAATTATTGTCTGTAACTCTGGTATGTGTTCCAGAGAGTCTCCAGTTCAGTTTGTGCTATTTCGTCCTGCCAACAAAATAAATCTCTTACTTAATGTTTAAATATGGGATAGTTTTGCTGACAAATCCATACTTACGTCTTCGCTGAGACATGGTAATTTCATGGCTCTTTCAATCCAGTCCAGAGCCGAGGCGTAGTCACCTTCTCCAATGTAACACTGTAGAAATGAAACAGAGAATAAGGAACTTAATCATGTTAGACAATTTAATCTATTCATTTTCCATGATGGTTAACAACTAATGGGGAAAAATAAATAATCAGAATTGATATAGTCCTTCCAACAATAATAGAACATAGTGATGGCCTAGAAACTATTATTTTCATGTAAGTTTGGTGAAATTTTCTAGTATGCTTGATAGCAAAATATTAACTATTATTGCACAAATTTAGAGAAAAATGATTAATAAACAAAAGAGTTAGATATTATCATCAAAAATAGGATGTCCAACATTAATAGAACATGTATTAATTGGAATTAATTACAAAAAGTAATGATTGAAATCCATGAAATTTGCAAAAAAATATGATCATCAATTGAAAAGAAAGATTTAGTAAATTGCATAATTCCTTACTATTAAAAATGGGACAAGGGAAGAACTGTATTGTAGGAAAGATGATCAAAATTGATGTATTTCACCAAGAAGGGAGTAAATTAATTGGATTGCTAAAAGTTTGGGAAGACCTCATTCAACAAACTCAAAGTATCTCAATAATAGAGTAATTTATTTTATTTTTTTTTTATTTTATTTCTCAAAAGACACTGTTGGCCTTTTTCAAGCATCTTACAGTAAAACAACAAAACCAACACAAAACAATACAAAAACAGGACGCGAGCTGAGAAAGAAAATTAATTAACAACAAATATCATTGCATCTTAAGTTTTTTCTGTTTTTTTTACATTTTTTCTGAAGATTTCATAACTTAATATGTTATGCAAATCGTTGCACAGACTATTCCGATAGAAGATTAATTGAAAGATCGGTGCAGATTTCTCCACCTCTAGTTTAACAATTGGGAGACTATATTCACGATTTAAACGAGTATCTCCCGTTGATCTGCGACATTCACCTATACCAATTCCGAGAAAGCTGTTTTCTTTTTTTTCTTTTATGTATTTGAAGCTTTCCAATAGAATCTGTTTCTTGCAAATTTCACTAATCTTGTCAATATTATCGGTGCGGTAGAGTTCAGATACTGATTCCATAAAGTTTAAATTATAAATTGAACTCATGTAATGATTTTGTGCCATCTGAAGTTTGTTAACAGCATATAGAGATGCAGTTTCCCACAGAGCGATACCATATCTTATTCTAGATTCAATGCAAGTGTGGTACAGCTGTTTCAAGAGTGATGTACTTAAAAAAGCTTGAATTTTCTTATTTATCCCAGTATACTTTGCCAGGGAAAGTGCATCATCATCTATATGTTTATTCCAATGCAGATTGTCATCAAAAGTTACTCCCAAAAACTTAATAGCATTTACTTTTTCTATGTTATAATCGGTTATTTTAATTTTTAGGTGATGTGGATTCCTATTTGCAAAGCAGAGGAATTTAGTTTTATTTTTGTTTATTACTAATCCATTGTTTTCCATATAACTATTTAAAATTTTTTAAATGTGATTTAAATTATCCTGAAGAATTATAACGTTCGTATGAGAATAAGTTATCACTAGATCGTCAGCGTACATCAGTATATTCTCTTTTGGTATATAATTAAACAAATCATTAATATATATATTGAAAAGCAGTGGACCCAGGATTGAACCTTGAGGAATGCCCTTGTTTGGCCTGAAAGAGCTAGAGATAATCTGTCCAATTTTTACAAAGTAAATTCTGTTTGACAAGTATGATTTTAACCAGCTTAGAGGAGTCCCTCTTAGACGAACAGTTTGCAATTTTTGATACAAAAGTTTATGATTTAAGCTATCAAATGCCTTTTGAAAGGTCCACAAAAACTGATATTGCTATTTTCGATTTGTCAAGTTGTGACATTATTGATTGTTTCAAATGCAACAATGCATTTACCGTCGAAAATCCTCGTTTATAAGCGTATTGGTTTCTGTGAATAACCTGGAATCTGTCTATAAAAGTTGAAAATCTCTTGTAAAAAATCTTCACAAAAATTTTAGCCAACACTGACACTATTATTATATTATGGGGCGATAATTTTCAATTTCACTTTTTGATCCTTTATTTTAATATAATGGCAAAACTAAGTTTTTATTTAGTTTTTCCAGAAAGTAACCGTTTTAAAAAGATTTATCTATCAGATACGATAATGGTTAAGCTAAAATATCAGATGTGTTTTAAGATTTCAAAATTTAAGAAACTGATGTCTGGAGTGCTGTTTTTCAAACCTTCTATAGTATTATAGACTTCTAAGGCTGTTGTGTTTTCCAAAAAGAAAGTATTAGAAATACAGTAGAGCATCGTTTATCCGAAAGCTGGTTATCCGAAACGTCTGTTATCCGAAAGCATTCCACTCGGCAAATTTAAATTTTCGCTAGTGCTGTGGCACTGCAATCTACAGCTATTTCTTGGGTTACTCAAATATTTTACGTTTTTGATACTAAATTAACATCTGAAGTATAATTTTTTATTGTTTTTATATTTTTCAATATATTTATTTTATTTGTACAAAATAAAAAAATAATTTTTAACGATACAATAGTCTTCATTAGGCTTAACATCGACAAAAATTCAACGCGAAGCGACACGCAACGGAGAAAAATTTCAACATGGGATAAATTAATATATTTTTTCGTACATGATTCGTTATCCGAACAACCCCAGTCCCTAATTGATTCGGATAAACGACGCTCTACTGTACTAACATTTGTTCTATGTTGCTCCGAATTGATATTGCCAAAGACATCTGGAGTAAAGCCGTTCAAGGACCTGTAGTGCTCGGCAAAAATATCACTAAAAGTGCACTCATCATTTATCATTTTTCCTTTGTAATTCAAATGATCTATTTTAGCCTTATTCTTTGTCCTGGTTACCTGAAAGGATAACGTCTTAATGCTTTTCCAGAAGTCAGAAGGAGATTTAACATTAGATAACAGAAGACTATAATAGTTTTTCTCTTCATTACGGATATTTTTTCTGATTTGTTTATTCAAGGTATTCAATGTTTATTCAATTTATATCTTCTAAATGTTTGTTTCGTTCTTCGAAAGTCATCCAACTTTTATTTTTGACTGTTTTAAGTAAAGTTTTCTTATGTTTAATTAATGCAAGCGTATGTTCAGATATAAAATTCTTTAAGAAGTCTTTCCTGCTAGTTTTATTTTTTTTCACATATTCTTTAGTCGGAAGATATTTATCAATAAAAATGAGTAAAATGGTGTATAAATAGTCAGCTAATTGGTCAGTTGTCAAACTTGAAGTATGGTAATGAGAGAAACAAGACAACAAAGCGTAACGTTAACGGCAAATTGAGGAATTATTGATTCTATGGTAGAATGCTTTGTTCTTCATCCTCGTATCAAGGTCTTTTTCAGGGGTAAAGACGATGATAGGTAGATGGTCAGATATCAAATTTTGATGTATTAAAAATTGACACACACTATCGTTTGTTAGACCAAAGTCTATCAAAGAGTGAATATTTTTTCCATATCTAGTTGGTTGATTCAAATCAGCCAGAATTGTTAAATTTTCAGCAAAGCAAAGATTTACCAGTTCGGATGTGTCAGAGGAGTTATTTTTAAGTAAATCGATGTTAAAATCCCCAATTATTTGCAATTTATATTTTCCATATTTAGTTGATTTATGTAATAGTATTTCATTTATAACATCCAAGAAAATCCTGTAGTTTGTAGATGGGGAACAATAGACTATTACCAGCATCAAATTACCTACAACTATCGTAATTATATCTATATAATTTCTTGTAAAAGTTAGATCTGAAACAACTTCGTAATGTTTATCACTATGTATATATATTACAATACCTCCATGCTGATTAGGTTCTCTTTCTATTTTTTCTAGCTGATAGTCTTTTATATATGGTGGAGGATTTACATCATTTGTCCAAGTCTTGCAAAAAGCTAATACATCAAAGTTGCAGTTATATTCCTCGATTGTTTTAAGTATTTCTAAATATTTATTATTTAAGCCTCTTACGTTGCAACAAAAAACAAATATGCGCTTTTTGGAGAAGTCGTCTATCTTTGTGTGTGTTAATAATTCAATCATTCCGAAAAATTTTCTCTAAACTGTCCAATGTTGGTATTCGAATTGTTGGAGAAGAAGTATCCTTTTTTAAATACACATTTCCGTTATTTGTCCAAGTGTTTAATATTTTTCCTTGTTTTTTTAGCATTCTGGTTTTATAGAAAATATTTCTATAATATGGAGTAAGATGTTCATTTATATATATTCTATATTCCTCATTTATAATATGACATGCATTTGTAGTTATTTTTAACTTCTTATTTTTAATATTATTTATAATTTTTTGTTTGACAACTGAATTGGCACATTTCACTATAATTGGTTGCAATCTAGTTTTGAATTCTTTTCTTTTGTTATTAATGGATTTAATTCTATAGGCATTCAATAGACATGATTGATTAAAATTATCATCAACAAACAAAAAAATTTTATATTCTATTTCTGTTAAATTCTCATTCTGAAGTGTCGGCATGCCAACAACCTCCAAACTACAGTTGTTTAGATCCTGCTCCAACATGCAGAATTTTTCCTTAGTAATGAACAGGAAAACAAAACAGTGGGCACGAGTTCAACAACACCGAGACAGCAATGTGCAGTTATTCGACATGCATTGCAAGGAAACACGTCCATTCATAAAATCAAAAATGAATTGAAGTTGAGCTGCAGTAAAACAACAGTACACAATGTTTTGAGAACAACAAGCAATGTTTCTTCCATCAAAATGCAGACAACCAACTTCGACTACAGTTTGCCAGAAACAACTTTGAAAGAGGAGAAGGATAGTGAAAAGTAATTTTCTTGGATGAGAAAAAGTGGAATCTCAATGATCTTGATGGTTTTAAGTATTGTTGGGCAGACAAAAGACTAGATCAAAAGCTGTACTCAAAGACAGTAGCTGGTGGTGGTACACTCATAACTTGGGTGGGGATTGGACAGAATGGAAAGACAGATTGAAGGTCAAAACAACTCTCAAACTTGT